GGCAGCAGTGGGACGAGGGGGGATAGGATGGCAGCAGTGGGACGAGGGGGGATACGATGGCAGCAGTGGGACGAGGGGGGGATAGGATGGCAGTAGTGAGACGAGGGGGGGATAGGATGGCAGCAGTGGGACGAGGGGAGGATATGATGGCAGCAGTGGGACGAGGGGGGATAGGATGGCAGCAGTGGGACGAGGGGGGATAGGATGGCAGCAGTGGGACGAGGGGGGATAGGATGGCAGCAGTGGGACGAGGGGGGATAGGATGGCAGCAGTGGGACGAGGGGGGATAGGATGGCAGCAGTGGGACGAGGGGGGATAGGATGGCAGCAGTGGGACGAGGGGGGATAGGATGGCAGCAGTGGGACGAGGGGGGATAGGATGGCAGCAGTGGGACGAGGGGGGACAGGATGGCAGCAGTGGGACGAGGGGGGACAGGATGGCAGCAGTGGGACGAGGGGGGACAGGATGGCAGCAGTGGGACGAGGGGGGACAGGATGGCAGCAGTAGGACGAGGGGGGGGACAGGATGGCAGCAGTGGGACGAGGGGGGACAGGATGGCAGCAGTAGGACGAGGGGGGGAAAGGATGGCAGCAGTAGGACGAGAGGGGACAGGATGGCAGCTTTGGGACGAGGTGGGGATAGGATGGCAGCAGTGGGACGAGGGGGGGATAGGATGGCAGCAGTGGGACGAGGGGGGACAGGATGGCAGCAGTAATCGATGGAAACATCGTCCCATCAGTAGTGAAATTAACCAATCAATCCCAACATTCCTCAGATCTTAGAGCCGCAAGCAGTGACGTCGTTCCTGCCCCGAATAAACAAAGTGGACGGGCTAGGACATGGGGTATGGGGTGGACGGGCTAGGACATGGGGTATGGGGTGGACGGGCTAGGACATGGGTATGGTGTGGACGGGCTAGGACATGGGTATGGTGTGGACGGGCTAGGACATGGGTATGGTGTGGACGGGCTAGGACATGGGGTATGGGGTGGACGGGCTAGGACATGGGTATGGTGTGGACGGGCTAGGACATGGGTATGGTGTGGACGGGCTAGGACATGGGTATGGTGTGGACGGGCTAGGACATGGGTATGGTGTGGACGGGCTAGGACATGGGTATGGTGTGGACGGGCTAGGACATGGGTATGGTGTGGACGGGCTAGGACATGGGTATGGTGTGGACGGGCTAGGACATGGGTATGGTGTGGACGGGCTAGGACATGGGTATGGTGTGGACGGGCTAGGACATGGGTATGGTGTGGACGGGCTAGGACATGGGTATGGTGTGGACGGGCTAGGACATGGGTATGGTGTGGACGGGCTAGGACATGGGTATGGTGTGGACGGGCTAGGTCATGGGGTATGGGGTGGACGGGCTAGGACATGGGGTATGGGGTGGACGGGCTAGGACATGGGTATGGTGTGGACGGGCTAGGACATGGGTATGGGGTGGACGGGCTAGGACATGGGTATGGGGTGGACGGACTAGGACATGGGTATGGTGTGGACGGGCTAGGACATGGGGTATGGGGTGGACGGGCTAGGACATGGGGTATGGGGTGGACGGGCTAGGACATGGGGTATGGGGTGGACGGGCTAGGACATGGGGTATGGGGTGGACGGGCTAGGACATGGGTATGGGGTGGACGGGCTAGGACATGGGTATGGGGTGAACGGGCTAGGACATGGGTATGGGGTGGACGGGCTAGGACATGGGTATGGGGTGGACGGGCTAGGACATGGGGTATGGGGTGGACGGGCTAGGACATGGGGTATGGGGTGGACGGGCTAGGACATGGGTATGGGGTGGACGGGCTAGGACATGGGTATGGGGTGGACGGGCTAGGACATGGGTATGGGGTGGACGGGCTAGGACATGGGTATGGGGTGGACGGGCTAGGACATGGGGTATGGGGTGGACGGGCTAGGACATGGGGTATGGGGTGGACGGGCTAGGACATGGGGTATGGGGTGGACGGGCTAGGACATGGGGTATGGGGTGGACGGGCTAGGACATGGGTATGGGGTGGACGGGCTAGGACATGGGTATGGGGTGGACGGGCTAGGACATGGGTATGGGGTGGACGGGCTAGGACATGGGTATGGGGTGGACGGGCTAGGACATGGGGTATGGTGTGGACGGGCTAGGACATGGGGTATGGTGTGGACGGGCTAGGACATGGGGTATGGTGTGGACGGGCTAGGACATGGGGTATGGGGTGGACGGGCTAGGACATGGGGTATGGGGTGGACGGGCTAGGACATGGGGTATGGGGTGGACGGGCTAGGACATGGGGTATGGGGTGGACGGGCTAGGACATGGGGTATGGGGTGGACGGGTTATGAGACAGTTACGGTAGACAGACGCAGAAGGTGTCACAGCCGACAGGTGATAAATGGTGATATGTTAAGTAATGGTGACAGGTGATATGTTAAGATAAGCATCTTATTGCTTCGTAATTACAATTATTACTTAACCTATACCTATAATACCAACACACGCCTTAAACCACTGACCCATATGGCAGATACAGTATATATATATATATATATATATATATATGTAATATATATATATATATATATATATGTAATATATATATATATATAATATGCCATAAGTAACGAAGCTGGTATTCAACCGAACCATGGAGGTCCTTGTAATGATAGCGTATCGTGGTCCAGTGGTTAAAGGCGCACGCTTAGGAGTACCTAGGGTGCACGTTCGAACCCTCCTCATGGCTCTTAACAAAATTTTCCCCATTTATAATATTACTGATAATTGCAATGGATTTTTATTGCTTAAACCCTGAACAGTAATTACATGAAGAGCTTAAGGAGCATTGTGCAAGATCTTCCAGGAGCGTCCGTCATTGTAAGTCAGCCAGGCCGCGTCCCTAGCTCCCGGGACCCGCCTTTAGCTTGAAGCTCGACACTTCAAGGTTTCGCTACGCGGGGGAGGAGGGGGGGGGGGGTTAAATGGTACCCCCGCTCTAATCCTCAGCCTCATAGGTTTCAATGCCTGCAATGCTATTTTCATCAGTCGACGACACCGGCGATTGAGTGGCAGGGGTGGAGGGGGGGGGGAGTGGCAGGGGTGGAGGGGGGGGGGAGTGGCAGGGGTGGAGGGGGGTGGGGGGAGTGGCAGGGGTGGAGGGGGGGGGGGAGTGGCAGGGGGGGAGTGGATGTCGAGGGGGGCAGAAACTTTTAAATTGTTTTCGATAAACTAAACGGTACTTTTATATTCATCAATGGAAATATATTTGTAGTCTACAAACTGGAAAACAATAGAAATACGAGCACGAGGTGATAAATTAGTCATATTTGTAATTATGTTCAGTGATGCTAATCTCTCTAATCGTTGTAATTGTTGTCCTAAAGTGATGCATTTGTTATTGTTATCATTACACGAATAAAGTATAATATGTTGTTAGTGGTAACGCGTCAGAGCAACGTTATTGTAAGTGCACAAATCGTCAACAAAATGACTGTAGCCGTTAAGTATGAATTGCAGTATTAGGACTGTGTATTAGGACGGTGAGGTCACCGTGGGCACGACGGCCCACCGTGGGCACGACGGCCCACCGTGGGCACGACGGCCCACCGTGGGCACGCCGGCCCACCGTGGGCACGCTGCCGTACCCAGGAACACACATCATGGCCAGGGAGGCAAGAAGACAGGAGACAAAAGCACAGGAATTGGGACAAAACATCTGGGAGTGGATATTAAAAACACTAAGACGGTTAGACTTAGACTACAAAGAAAAGTTTAAGGAACTAAATCTCGTATAACCCTAAAGGAGAGAAGAAACGTGGGGGCTGGGGGGATATGATCACTACATTCAAAATACTGGACGGAGTAATAAAGATGGACAAGGGCAGCCTATTTAAGTTGAGAGAAGGTTAAAACAAATTAACGTAGATGGAAGGTGCAAAGGTAAGAATGTCGAAGATATGTAAGGAAATACTTTGTTCTGGTGGTCAGCAAGTGGACTGTAATGAAAGACAAAGTCAGGGAAGCCACCTCCACCCACAACTATAAGCTCAGACATGACATTCAACCGACATGAAAGTTAAATTATAACGGAGAGCAAAACCTGGCGTCCCTGTAGTCACTGTAAGGGATTCATAGACAAACACCAACCTGTATCCACCACCACCACCCCTGTATCCACCACCCCTGTATCCAACGCCACCAGTCTTCGTCCACCACTATTACAGAAACGTTGTTTTTCCAAGGCCGTTATGAAAGGAGTTGTTGTGGTGCACAGTCCGTATACAGTGGAAGTCTCGCAGGAGTAGTGAGGACGGGGGAGACCGCCGGAGACAGTCAAGCGGAGACTTGTGTGAAGACGGACCGAGGTTGTTACCAAGACAGAGACCCTTGTCACACCCCCCCCCCCCCCTCCACAAGCCCCTCCCCCTCCCCACCCTTTGTACCCTTTCATCCTTCCGTTAAGAGGTGTTGTGGACCCGCCAAGACCCGGGAGCTGACACGAGGGGTCGGCGAGGCCAGGCCGGGTCACACGGGTCATGCACGAGAGGCCAGCCGAGGAGAGTGAGGGGAAATGATAACAAGGAAGAGGTGGTAAGAAAGGCAAGATTAAGGGTTAATTGCTGTCATTTAAGGGTTTTAGGGAAGTAATTTAAGGGGGAAGTGAGAGGTACGGAAGAAACTTTTAACAAATATTCAATTGAAATTAAGTCGCCCGGGAGCCTTAACCACACACACAGTTGTCACCTCCCATGGTAAAGCTGGGTAAAGGTGGGATACAGCTCTTGGACCCCTATGAGAGCCAAGACACCAGGTGTCAAGAGTGTCACGTGATAAGAGCTCCGGAAGGTTCATGGTGTCATGGCTACCCATTGATGGGGACAGCCCCTCAGCTCTTGGGCTCGTCCAGGTCTAGGATAACAACTGACCTTCACCAGGATGCATCCCACAACAGTTGCATAACTCCCACCTAGCAATTTACATCTAGGTAAATAGAGGCATCAGGTGTAAGTAAATTATATTTGTATTTTAAAGTTCTCTCTAGACATTCCCGTTTTTAGTGCCAATCTGCCATACCCTTTTCATATGTAAAATTTTCTCTCACTCTCACTCGATAAATTGTCCTTAATTCATATTTTTCACATATATAAAACCTCGGTTCTTTGAAGTTTCAATGCGAGAATTCGTTGTCAACTTCCACTCTGCTGAAAACGTTTATATGGGTAGATGGGGAGGCCTTCGTGGCTGAGGTCAGCATAAGTGTGGTTGGAGAAGACTTAGATCTGGCAGATGGCGTAGATATCGTCGTGGTTGTAGCAGCTATGGAAGTAGAAGTCAGGAGTGTGGATACAGGCGTAGTTGGCTAAGGTGCCGTCGTTGGGCTCTCCGCCGTCACACGGGTACCAGTGTGGGACGCCCATCTCCATCGCCGACCCGTCGCTCACCCACACCCACCTGCACACACCGTCCACTACAGTTAACACACCAAAAGCTGTGTTCTCCAAACCACACACTAGAAAGTGAAGGGACGACGACGTTTCGGTCCGTCCTGGACCATTCAAGACTTTCATTCTGGACCATTAATTCAAGACGATTTGAGAATGGTCCAGGACGGACCGAAACGTCGGCGTCCCTTCACTTTCTAGTGTATGGTTTGGTCAACATATTTCAGCCACGTTATTGTGACTTCTCGTCTCCAAACGAAAAGCTATTTAAGATATGAAAAAACGGAAGATTAATGGCAAAGAAAAGGTAAATGGTTAATAAAGGAAGAGAAGGATATGGATGTGTACATGAGGGGGGGGGGGTGGAGAAAGGTTTTAATAGTGTAATTATGCTATAGGTTCCTACAAGGGAGACGACTTATTTCAATAGTGTAATTACTAGTCTGCTAGTAGAGAGAAATGGACATTAATATGATTTCGAACGCGCACAATAGCGAACTATCCTCCGACTTCTTATATCAAATTAGATGGAGTTCCAGGCTTTTACGTGCATTCTTAACATAACGTGTATGGCAATATAAGAATGCTTTACTGTTCAAGCAACTTACAACTAAGAAAAAAAACATCAGAATCTTATTTAGCATCTGAAAATTGTTTTGTTGAACTCAAATCTCATATCACGTGAACTGGAAAGAGCTGGATATATTTTCAAAATCTTTGATAAACTATTTGACTCTTAAACAAGTCTTCCCGCTCCTTCAAAGCCGCTTCTAACATGATACTCGATAGGCTTATCTATTGAAAAGTATAAATATCACTGGGAACGACGTTACTTGACCATCTGGAACATTGGGTAGCACGTTACTTACGTTCCTTCGTGGCCCGCGTCGGTTCCTCCAATCCAATATGCTCTCTCGTTAAATTCTGAAATAATTGGTTCATTAGCATGCGTTCTAGTGTACTTATCTATCATTTGATGGAAGAATGTGAATAATTCTTTTATCACATTATAAATCCACCTCCATTCTTGAGGTGGATCTAAGGCGAGTGGTGTGTAGAGGTCGCCAAGAGAAGTGTAAACAATACACTGACTGACATCATCAAAATAATGCAGATGTAGGTGATAAAATACATGATAAAAAATGGGATTTTTCATATATAAATGAACCCCCGTAAGCATAATAAAATTGAAGACGGGTGCAAATATATTCGCGACATTTTTTCAGCACATTAAAATGCAAATCCCAGTATTGACTGTGGCGGCTGGGCCAGACCAGAGCATAATACTCAACACAAACTTTGGATATTAAAGAGTAATAATAGTACAGAGAAATGCAAAAACCAACCGTTGCAATAGCAAGGGTTGGTCCTAATTGCAGTAAATCTGCGAGGCAGGGAAGCCCTAATGCTATTAAGAGGCTGCAGTGAGCGTTGTCATCAGCGATTGAACAAAGAGTGTGAAACAGGTTACCTGATTGCTTCTTGTTCAAGTGTAATCTTCAAACTGGATACTTTATTTTTGTCTGTTTAGTTTATTAAAGAACTTTCTGGTTTATCCTTGCCGAAATATGTATACTCTGACTTCCTTTCCTCTTTTTTTTTATAAATTTTGTGTTCAATTATTTGTGCTTACAGGACTTGGCCTTAAGCTCCTGGGTCCAGCCTTTGTACCCAGGAGTCCAACCTTAAATCAGCTGACAGGGAAGAATGATTGGACACCGATCATTGACTGTTTGCCTGAATAGCCTTCTGTGTAAAGTAAAACTATTGAGATTGATGTCATAACTGCTTTTGAATCATTGCACCGCGTGTATCTCGCTTTCCTGCTCTGCTCCAAATGTGCTGTGTGTGTGTGTGTGTGTGTGTGTGTGTGTGTGTGTGTGTGTGTGTGTGTGTGTGTGTGTGTGTGTGTGTGTGTGTGTGTGTGTGTGTGAGTGAGAAGCATGAGTAACTCCACCCACTACAGAGCACTAGATCCACTTACCACGGTACCCGGTGAGGTACTGGACCACCTGGTGGTGGAGGTCGCCCTTGAGCTCGGCCAGGTCGGCCCCTTCTGCCTGACACAGGGCCCTCATGTGGTCCCACGACCCCTTCTCCTCCGTGTAGAACTTTATACAGACGGGCGTCATCGGGTCCACGGTGAAGGACACGTACCCGGTAGGACACGGGCTCCCTGTCAACGGAACCAGTTGTGCACGAGGATACACCTTGACATTGTTACACTCTCATTCTAAGGCCAACTCGACCACACTCTGGTCTGGTGTTTGTTAGTCCGCTAATTGATGAACCCTCCTGGTCTCTCATCCATATATGTATCACATAAAACGTTTCATAACAAATATTACAAGGAGCACCCACTGGGGATCAAACTTGCGACCTCGTGGTTACCGTGTCGACACTGCACCCCCCCCCCATTCCCCCTCCCCCTAACCAGCAATTCCACAAGGTAACTACAGTTTGGAGGTCCACCAAGAATACTGCCAAGTGCTTGCAAGCGGTCACAGATTCTAATCCTTTTTTCCCCCCATTTCTCGGGAGCACTTGTGGTGTGAAGCTGATGTGACGGTCACACCTTCACTACACTACCCCTCCCCCTAGGGACACTACACTACCCCTAGGTACACTACCCCTAGGTACACTACACTACCCCTTGGTACACTACACTACCCCTTGGTACACTACACTACCCCTTGGTACACTACACTACCCCTTGGTACACTACACTACCCCTTGGTACACTACACTACCCCTAGGGACACTACACTACCCCTTGGTACACTACACTACCCCTAGGGACACTACACTACCCCTAGGGACACTACACTACCCCTAGGGACACTACACTACCCCTAGGGACACTACACTACCCCTAGGGACACTACACTACCCCTAGGGACACTACACTACCCCTAGGGACACTACACTACCCCTAGGGACACTACACTACCCCTAGGGACACTACACTACCCCTAGGGACACCACACTACCCCTAGGTACACCACACTATACCCCTAGGTACAGTAGGGTGGAAAGCCAGTACTGGTTTAAAGACTGACGCCATGGTGACAGCTCACACCTTGTACACACACTATATGTAAAGCGCAATGTTAAGGTAGGATGGGTTGGGTTAGGTTATGTTTAGAGCAGCCAAGACCTACAGGGTTACATACTTTTCTCAGGTCTCTGACCCTACTCTATAACTTCTATAATATAGACCCTACTTCTATAATATAGTTGGATATAATAATATCTATAATAATCTATCTTTGGATACGGACAAGGCAATTTTTCTATTGATACAAGTCTTTTAAAATACACACATTGATCCAGGTCATCTTACCTTGACCGAAGATTGCCACGAACGCCGCTGAAAAAGAACGAATCGATATATTAATATACAAACAGAGCTACTTAAATATGCTGTTGTAAATACAAGCAAGTAATATTAGTACTGTTTCGTGCTTAGTCAGTCAAGTGCTGAAGCTTAGCACAGTCGCTCTGGGAGAAAGTCCCCCCCCCCTTAACAATCAGCAGAAAGCACTTAGCCATGACGACTATATAGCACTTTTAAGGGGCCAGGCTAAGGATTTGGAATGGGGCGGGGAGGGGGGGAAGAGGGGAGGAATGGTGCCTAACCACTTGGACGGTCGGGGATTGAACCCCGACCTGCATGAAGCGAGACCGTCCAACCCAAGGAATTTGAAGCTTTTCTTGAGGACAGTGTCTTGAGACCGTCTCTACGAACTGGTCTTAGAGCTCCTGCAGTCATTAAAACTGTACACAATAGCCCTCGAAGATTCTGTACACTGTACAGCCACTGAAATAATAGAGAGAGCCATCGGAGAGATACTGTACTATACAGCCGTTTAAACAATAACTAAACGCCATCAGAGTATCCAGAGCGATACTCTACAAGCGTTTAAACAATACACAAAAGCCATTAATGGGTTAAAATGACATCAAAGACTTTGACATAGTCAGCACAGGGATCCTGATGGTCTTTGAAATATAAACATAAAATATAGTCTAGTCAGCAATATATAAATCCAATTGTGTTTGTAAGAGCCGCTATGATCAATAATCTATACCACTATCTTGCCTTTACCTGTATATTATATATTTAAGGTGAGAGATAAGATTATTAGATAAGACTAGATAACCATTATTATGGTTGTCTAGTCTCTATGGTTCCTAGTAACAGGACAGTGCCTGGAGCGTCCTCAGCCTAGTCCTAGACAATTTGTAGGGTTACAAAGTATGTGTCAAAAGCTATCTTAGCTTTTGACAAGTGTCAAGTAGCTATCTTAGCTACTTTGTCAAGTAGCTATCTTAGCTACTTGACATTAACATCCCCCCCCCCACCACCCCCTTCCCCCATCTCGCAGTTAGTCATACGGGGCTTGACACCTCATCACATGACCCTGTATGACTAACTATCCTGCAAGATGGAGATACTCTTTACTTCATGACACACTATGCAACCCTTCGTATAGTCCACCGTAGCTGCATCAATGGTGTACTAGTCAACATTTGAATAAGAAAATGATCAAATTTAGAACCTGCAGATATCTAGCCTCGTTACTCTTAAGTCAGTTTGTGATCGTTCACCTAACCAATCCTTCAATATTCTTCCCCAAGAATATTGAAGATATTTGGTATATGCGGGACATTCACGCGGAAGAACAAGTTGAGACTAAGTGTATCAGGGAATGAGTAGTGTGTCGTCAGATGACTTTAGGACAACCTACTCATAAGTTATGAGGTGTTGGTGTATATAGAGCAATCTGTCCTCTTGCAAATTACGTCTGAATTTGGCCGTTTGTCCGTATGGACAAAAATGGATGTAATTTAAAAAAAAAAATGAAAATACTGTTTTGGAAAGAATACAAAATTTAAGTTAAGGGTCCTCTGGTAGATTAGGAGGGCAGGAAATTCCCCTGAAGTTTCAAAACGTCATAAAAACCGTTAATTGAAAGTTTCCTGTCCTAACCTTGCCGAGTAAGCCAGAGGATCCAAAGAGAAAACAGGACAGAACATCACTTTCGTGAGCCGGTTTCATTTCAAATTTCGTCCATTTTTGGCCATAGCGCGCATACGGGCGAAAAGCGACGTTATTTTTAAGAGGACGGGTTGAATAGAGTGACAGTCAGTGAGAACTAGATAGTATGACACAGCTTTTTTTCATTTATCAGAACAGCACAAAAAAAGTATGACGCAGCAGTAAGCGAGTGAAGCAGTGATAAAGATTGCGTCATGGCTCTGCTTAGTGAATGACGCTCCGAATCTTCACCATAATATAAAACCACTGTTCAAATATCAGTGTTTGTAGGTTTCTCTTGGTCGTACATTAAATTTTAATGATCAATAACTTTGAAAACTGTTATATTGAAGGATGTAAAGCCTTGAATATCTGGTGATATTGATCTACTGGTGAGTCTTGGAAACCACAGATAAAGAATAAATATAATTAGACTATGGGAACAATCCCAAACAAGAAAATCAAGCCATGATGCAGAAGACAAAATCAGTACAAGAGAAGCGGCTGACTTGGGACTCGCCGCTCCCAGTGCAAGCCCTCTAACACGGGATATCCCAGCAGGAAACATGAAGGGAATTAAACACTTATGAAGATTGTCAGAAAAGACATGATTACTAAATACAAAATTACAAATAGAATAAACAGGACAGACAAAGACAGGCTATTGCGAAAGAGTAGTTCACGAACAAGCGGAACAGATGCAAACAGGACACCCAAGCGAACCACTGGAACTTTGGAAACTGTACTGGTTTAAAGTTAAATATTGGAGTGAGACTTCAACTCTCTATCTTCCTTTCTATTCTCCTCTCCTCTCCTTTCTCCCACTCTCCCCCCTCCCTTCCACAGTCGGTAGGGTCAGACAAGAGATATTAAGAGTGCCAGGCGGCACTGGGACACACCTGACAATTCTCCCCCAGTACAGAACACCAACACAAGCCTGCCGCTCCACACCTGACACTTCTCCCCCAGTACTGAACACCAACACAAGCCTGCCGCTCCACACCTGACACTTCTCCCCCAGTACTGAACACCAACACAAGCCTGCTGCTCCACACCTGACACTTCTCCCCCAGTACTGAACACCAACACAAGCCTGCCGCTCCACACCTGACACTTCTCCCCCAGTACTGAACACCAACACAAGCCTGCTGCTCCACACCTGACACTTCTCCCCCAGTACTGAACACCAACACAATCCTGCCGCTCCACACCTGACACTTCTCCCCCAGTACTGAACACCAACACAAGCCTGACGCTCCACACATGACACTTCTCCCCCAGTACTGAACACCAACACAAGCCTGCCGCTCCACACATGACACTTCTCCCCCAGTACTGAACACCAACACAAGCCTGCCGCTCCACACCTGACACTTCTCCCCCAGTACTGAACACCAACACAAGCCTGCCGCTCCACACATGACAGTTAACGAGTCTCCTCTACCAAAGGCAAGAGCCACAGTCGCTGCTCTCTTCATGACGAGTGTTGCTGTGTTGCTGCTGCTGCTGCTGTTGTTGTGTTGTGGGAGTGTCGGGGTAGAGTGGGTACAGCAGGAGACCGTCTGGGCTATATACCCTGCCCTTGGTGCGCGGCCTTGGCACTCACCCGCTGATAAACGCGCACTATTGCGAAGTTAATGGAATGGTCCCAGAGCAACAGTTTAATGCATCCAGCACTTGATAATTTAACTATTTATAGAGATGATTCCAAATTACTTACCTGCAGGCGATGAGTCACAATAACGTGGCTGAAGTAGTTTGACCAGACCACACACTAGTAGGTGAATGGACGACTACGTTTCGGTCCGTCCTGGACCATTCTCAAGTCGATTGTCATCGTATTTTCACCTTCTAATGTGTTGCCTGGTCATGCCTGCACAATACCAGTGTAGCGTGAAGTCTGGAATCCGACGGCGTGACCTGGAAGTAAGGCAGTAATGTACCTGGATAGTGTTTTGTACCGTTTCGTCTGGCAGTATGACGATCGTCAAATATGGAGTAATTTTGCCCAGCCTGGAGCGCCCAAATCTCTGCGACCCACCTAAGCTATGGAGCACCAATGGTTATTAGTCGGAGGAAACGTTCATATTATCCTCAGTCCTCGTTAGGAATTCAGGGGACTGTTCAGGGGTTTACTCCTGCGGGATACCGGGACTCCTGCGGGATACCGGGGCAGATTGGCCTTGGAGATTGAGGTGGCCCAGGGCCCTGGGTTATTATAGGCTGTTTGGTATGCCTTATTGAGCCCGGCCTTAGGGGCCACAGTGGCTACTCACTGTACGCCTCTACTGATCCCAGCGACACGTTGAAAACATTTGTTATTCATATTCAGACGTACTTTGGCAGTCTCAGGTCCCCCTCTAGGGTGGGGATGGCGCCTCGCTCACACTATTGCCCGGAGCCAAATGTTGTTTTCCTGAACAAATTATGACCAGACATTATGAGCACATTTTCACTGTGAAAGGTGTGGGTTCCCCTCTTGCTAATGTGTAGGCGCGTCTCCTCTGGCTGTACACACATTATACCCATCCTTAGTCTAATACATGGGGCGGCTTGTATGAGAACTCGCTCTCACTGCTGCTCTCTCCCTCTCACTCTTGCTCTCTCGCTCTCACTCTTGCTTTTGCTCTCTTGTTCTCTCTCTCCCTCCCTCCCTCCCTCCCTCCCTCCCTCCCTCCCAAGGTGTCACCAGTGGTGCTGCAAGAGCACTCCGGCCTCCTAAGGTTTCCCAACTTCAAGAAAACGGTAAATTGAAAAGTGTCCTCTCCTAACCTACCAGAGGACCCAAAACAGAAAACAGGACAGTGCGTCATTTTCACAAGTCGCTTCCATTTTCTAGCACGACAATTTTTGACCTAATGTAACGCATCCGCGGGAAATGCGACGTTGTTTGTAGGAGGACACGTTGTCGCCCGCATGAGACCTTTAATAAAGAAGAGTATATCTTATACAACTAAACATCAGCATATGCATTACAGTATACTTTAATTAAGCGACATCTTTACCTATATTTAATGGAGCGCAGGTGAACGTAAAGGAGAAAGAGGATCCTGGGAGAATATTGAGCATCAGGTGAAAGGTTTCTCAGAGCCGCTCACGTCAGCCCTGGGAACTGTGACAGGTCGGTGCTACTTCAAGTTGCTTGACGTAACCGGTGGGCGCTAGAGGCAGCATCCCTGCTGCTCTAAGGTCTTCTACCTGGGGGTGACGGGGGCGGTAATCGACCTTAACGACAAGAGTCAATGTGAAGGGTTCACAGGACCCCCCGCGGCCAGCATTGTGAGCCGTGACTTAACGAGGTTGGATTACAATTGAAGTAATCTTGGGTTCGTTGGAGTATGCAATGCAGGAGGGACTTGAGCGAGTGGTTTTTAATTTGTGGAACGGATTGCCGGGTAGCATCATAGACGAGGCACTGAGCGATTGTTTCAAGCGTAGGTTAGACATTAAATGAATGAGTTTGGGTGGATGTAAAGGGACAACTTCCTTATATGGGTCAATTGACCCTCTAAAATTTCCTGTATTTATGTTCTTGTGTGTTGGGTAAAGCTCCTGATTGTGAACGTCTAAGACGCCGTCATCCTACAGCGAGACATCTGGAGCTTAGAGCTTCAAGACTGCCAGGCGTGAACATGACTATTAAGGCGCCAGTGACAGCTTGCTGACCGGGAAGGTAATTCAGTTGTTCTGTGAAGACCAACGAGTTTGTTGACAAATCTGACTTCAAAGCGGGTACCTCACTAGCTTATGAAGATTGTAACTTCTTTAGCTAAATGTATTTTGGGGTTCAGTCCCTGAGTCCATTATGTGTGTGTCTGTAAAGTTTCCACCACCGCCCAGGTGACGGTCACGGGGTCCACCACCGCCCAGGGGACGGTCACGGGGTCCACCACCGCCCAGGTGACGGTCACGGGGTCCACCACCGCCCCTCAGGGGGCGGTCACGGGGTCCACCTCCGCCCCTCAGGGGGCGGTCACGGGGTCCACCTCCGCCCCTCAGGGGGCGGTCACGGGGTCCACCACCGCCCCCCAGGGGACGGGCACGGGGTCCACCACCGCCCCCCAAGGGGACGGGCACGGGGTCCCACCACCGCCCCCCAGGGGGCGGTCACGGGGTCCCACCACCGCCCCCCAGGGGGCGGTCACGGGGTCCCACCACCGCCCCCCAGGGGACGGGCACGGGGTCCCACCACCGCCCCCCAGGGGACGGGCACGGGGTCCCACCACCGCCCCCCAGGGGACGGGCACGGGGTCCCACCACCGCCCCCCAGGGGACGGGCACGGGGTCCCACCACCGCCCCCCAGGGGACGGGCACGGGGTCCCACCACCGCCCCCCAGGGGACGGGCACGGGGTCCCACCACCGCCCCCCAGGGGACGGGCACGGGGTCCCACAACCGCACCCCAGGGGACGGGAACGGGGTCCCACCACCGCCCCCCAGGGGACGGGCACGGGGTCCCACCACCGCCCCCCAGGGGACGGGCACGGGGTCCCACCACCGCCCCCCAGGGGACGGGCACGGGGTCCCACCACCGCCCCCCAGGGGACGGGCACGGGGTCCCACCACCGCACCCCAGGGGACGGGTACGGGGTCCCACCACCGCCCCCCAGGGGACGGGCACGGGGTCCCACCACCGCCCCCCAGGGGACGGGCACGGGGTCCCACCACCGCCCCCCAGGGGACGGGCACGGGGTCCCACCACCGCCCCCCCAGGGGACGGGCACGGGGTCCCACCACCGCCCCCCAGGGGACGGGCACGGGGTCCCACCACCGCCCCCCAGGGGACGGGCACGGGGTCCCACCACCGCCCCCCCAGGGGACGGGCACGGGGTCCCACCACCGCCCCCCAGGGGACGGGCACGGGGTCCCACCACCGCCCCCCAGGGGACGGGCACGGGGTCCCACCACCGCCCCCCAGGGGACGGGCACGGGGTCCCACCACCGCCCCCCCAGGGGACGGGCACGGGGTCCCACCACCGCCCCCCAGGGGACGGGCACGGGGTCCCACCACCGCCCCCCAGGGGACGGGCACGGGGTCCCACCACCGCCCCCCAGGGGACGGGCACGGGGTCCCACCACCGCCCCCCCAGGGGACGGGCACGGGGTCCCACCACCGCCCCCCAGGGGACGGGCACGGGGTCCCACCACCGCCCCCCAGGGGACGGGCACGGGGTCCCACCACCGTCCCACCACCGCCCCCCCAGGGGACGGGCACGGGGTCCCACCACCGCCCCCCCAGGGGACGGGCACGGGGTCCCACCACCGCCCCCCAGGGGACGGGCACGGGGTCCCACCACCGCCCCCCAGGGGACGGGCACGGGGTCCCACCACCGCCCCCCAGGGGACGGGCACGGGGTCCCACCACCGCCCCCCCAGGGGACGGGCACGGGGTCCCACCACCGCCCCCCAGGGGACGGGCACGGGGTCCCACCACCGCCCCCCAGGGGACGGGCACGGATGAATAATAAATGAACTAAACACCATAGATAAAAATGTAATAAATTCTTCATAAAATAGTTATTTTAGACACTTTTTGGTATAAAATAGAGGACTGCCGTTGTGTGATGTGTTATACGTGGTGGGGAATGTCAGCCAGTTCATTAAACATTTTCACCAGATCGTCTGCCAGTAAATTGTGTATCCGCTTATTGTTTGAATTAATATCGGCTTCCGCCGTGTACAAGACTCGCCCTCTGGCGTTATCTTTCACATATCAGTTAGCAGCAGTTTGTGTAAGTTTAGAAGACGTTCTTTTCTTTACCTTTTCCTCCCTCCCTCCCCAAGTGGATGATACACACACACACAACACACTGCTTTAGGAAGTGATGTGGTGGAGGCTGACTCCATACACAGTTTCAAGTGTAGATATGATAGAGCCCAATAGGCTCAGGAATCTGTACACCTGTTGATTGACAGTTGAGAGGCGGGACCAAAGAGCTAGAGCTCAACCCCCGCAAACACAACTAGGTGAGTACACACACACACACACACACACACACACACACACACACACACACACACACACACACACACACACACACACACACAGACACTTTCAACCACAGTTTCAAATGTAGATATGACAGCCCAGTAGCCTCAGAATACATCATCAGTCAACCGTTGATTGACTGTTGAGAGGCGGAACCAAAGCTCAACCCCCGCAAGCACAACTAGTTGAGTACATTATTTAACACGGGTGGGACACGAACAAGGAGACACGGGTGGAAGCTGAGTGCCCAAATGAGCCACAGAGACATTAGAAGAACTTTTTTTTAGTGTCAGAGTAGTTGGTAAATAGAATGTACTAGGCAGTGATGTGGTGGAGGCTGACTCCATACACAGTTTCAAATGAAGAAATGATCCTTGATGAGGCCTTCCCAAGACCTCAAATATTAAGCGGCCTGCCAGACGACCCAGATGAGTGGCCCATCCCGGACCCGATCTACACCAAATGAAGAATAAAGAAAATAAATAAATAAATAAAAAAAAAAACTACAAAAAAATATAAAACCAAAAAACCCTTTGTCGTGGTATGAGAAGTGTAACTACCCTGATGTTACTAAGATTAGCCTCCTTCAGCCAACTCCATCGGCTCTAGTGCTTTAGGACACCAACAAGGTCACAAACACTAGCCCCCCCCAGCCAATGTACTGACACCCCAACATAACACATACGCAAACAAACACATACACAAATGTCAACCCATGGTGGACAGGCCACCCAACTTTCAAACCTCCTCTCTCTCTACACCCGCATCCTCTTCCTGAATTTCACCTCCCCATCCCTCTACCTCCCCCATCCTTTCCAATCCCTTTGGACATCAAAGATAGAGCTCGAGAAGCTCAGGAATTTATGTAGCAGTAGATTGATAGTTGAGAGGCGGGATCGAAGAACCGAAGCTCAACCCCCGCAAGCACAACTTTGTAAGTAAAACTATGCAAGTACACACGCACACTACCTAAAGGGCCTGACGGCCGAGTGGTCAGCGCTCGGGATTTGTAGTCCTAGGGTCCGGGGATCGATCCAAGGCGGAGGCGGAATCAAATGGGCAAATTCGTTCACCCTGATGCCCTTGTTCACCCAGTAGTAAATAGGTACCTGGGAGTTACAGCTGCTTCGGGCTGCATCCTGGGGGTGTGTTTGTGTGGGGGGCGGGAAATCAGTTGATTGATTGACAGTTGAGAGGCGGGCCCAGAGCGCCAGAGCTCAACCCCCGTAAGCACAACTAGGTGAGTACACACTTTCAATCTCCTATTTTTTTTAATTAATAATTTAATGATACATTTTAAAATATTTTATTTATATATTAATTCAAAATAGTCATACAGCGCCAGATCAAAACGCCTTTAAAGTATTATACAAGGTGGGGTTGTATGGGTTTGTTTAGCACTGGCCTGGAGGTGGTCACCATCCTCCCCGCCACCTTGTTAATGCAACATTTTCCAGTTTGGAAATCTTGGTCCGTTGGTGTCATTAGCAATTTAGTCATTCCAGACGAATTTCCAGTCATCTATAGTATACTTGGTCATCAATCACGTAGTATCATCATCAATCATCTACGCGTATCAACAGTTCTTCCCTTGCGAGTCTGACACCCAACGGCGGATCCTTTAAATCTGGCAGATGGCGTAGAGTTGGTTGTCTTCGTGGCAGCTGTAGAAGTAGTAGCCGTGCTTCTTGACGCAGGCGTAGTTGGACTTGGTGTCGACGTGGGGCTGGTCGTCGCACGGGTACCAGTGGGGCGTACCCATCTCCATGGCAGAGTCGTCGCTCACCCACGTCCACCTGCAGCCATCATGGGTCATAGTTACAACAGAAGAGGAAGTTAGAAGCAGGAATATCATACATAAAGAGACGTATTTTGTTGCATATCAGCGAGGGATTATGATCATATTACACTGTGAAAGTCTTTGACATTTTTCATATACAAAATTTAAATAATTACAAAAATGTGAGAAAATCCACAAGGGTTGCGAGGTGGGCGCGAACCAGGTACTGAATATTGTCTGTCGCGTACTCTACCACTGGACCATCGTCGACTTGCAAGGTAGGCGATTGGCAATGTCTGGGTCGCTGGTTCGGGTCCACATCACAGTCCTGGTGGATTTTCTCATTGATTTATATTTAACGTTAGTGGGATGGATTTTTGTGTGTTTTTGAATGTTTTTAATATCTTATTTGTTACTTGGACGTTTATTCATGTTTATGAATACTTTGATGCTACAGATTGGTCTTGTAGCGTTTTAGAATGTGATTAACAGAATAATGATCGGGAAACTGTAGCACGTTACTTGGTCATTTGGGACACCCAGGAGCACGCTACCTGCGACACCCAGGAGCACGCTACCTGCGACACCCAGGAGCACGCTACCTGCGACACCCAGGAGCACGCTACCTGCGACACCCAGGAGCACGCTACCTGCGACACCCAGGAGCACGCTACCTGCGACACCCAGGAGCACGCTACCTGCGACACCCAGGAGCACGCTACCTGCGACACCCAGGAGCACGCTACCTGCGACACCCAGGAGCACGCTACCTGCGACACCCAGGAGCACGCTACCTGCGACACCCAGGAGCACGCTACCTGCGACACCCAGGAGCACGCTACCTGCGACACCCAGGAGCACGCTACCTGCGACACCCAGGAGCACGCTACCTGCGACACCCAGGAGCACGCTACCTGCGACACCCAGGAGCACGCTACCTGCGACACCCAGGAGCACGCTACCTGCGACACCCAGGAGCACGCTACCTGCGACACCCAGGAGCACGCTACCTGCGACACCCAGGAGCACGCTACCTGCGACACCCAGGAGCACGCTACCTGCGACACCCAGGAGCACGCTACTTACTCTCCCTCATGCCCTTCATCAGTTCCTCCGATCCAGTAATCCTTGTCTTGGAGATCTGGAATAAGTGGTTGAGGAATAGCATACACAAGCACTTGATCTATGTTAAAAATGTAAATTATATTTTCGAAAATGTTGAAATATTGATGGGGAAGCTAAGAAGGCAGGGGCGAGAGAGAAGTTTGTCATGCACATGTCATTCACACCACTGAAAACCAACATTGACAAGTTTCTAGATAATAATACAAATAAAGGTTAAATTATATGCAAAAAACTAAAAAATAGCTACAAGATGGCTTTGGCATGCTTTTCAGATAGTCAAGATTGACAGACAATTTAATGCTGACAAATGGAGTTTCAAGTCTTAGGAATGATCAGAGTTACCAGATATCATATGGACAATGATAACATTACCAAATCTTTCAAGCTTCTGGCCAGTGTAAAGAACGTATGAAAGTTAAATTTTCCATTGCCTTCACAAGCAAAAAAAAGAACACGAAATCAAGAAAATTCGTGCTATATTCACAGTCATATTCAACCGTTGAATTCTTAATAGACCCAGGGAATGCTGACGTTCGAAAAATGATTTCTTTCAGACTCGACTACATTCCTTTCTAAACTATTTTTTGTTGGTATAAATAGTTGTGTAATGAGGGATGTTACCTTTGTTCAGCGTGATGTACTGGTACACCTGGTGGTGGAGGTCGCCCCTCAGCTCGGCCAGGTCGGTCTGGTCAAGCTGACACAAGGCCCTCATGGTGGACCACGACCCCTTCTCCTCAGTGTGGAACTTTATACACACGGGCGTCCCAGAGTCCGACAGGAAGGTCACGTAGCCGGATGAACACTGGTTCACTGGTAAGGTAACCAACGTGAGCTGTGTCAGGTATTGTGGTGAGTGTTACTGGGCACAATCAGTGGATTGTGGGGGGTTCTGGAGGGCACAACAAGTGTTGGATTGTGTAGATGGTTCTGTGTAGAGGAGGGGGGGGGTGTCGAATCAGCAAAGTATTGTAATAATAGTTCGTTTTATCTGGGACAGGTAGCCTGTCCCATATATACTGGTACTGACGTCCTCCTAAAGGTCGGACTACTGACCCTCCCGATCACACAACCGTTGCCCTACTCCCAGGCACCTATTTACTGCTAGGTGAACAGAGGCATTAGGTAAACGGAAACGTGCCCAACAATTTCTGTCCCGCTCGGGGCTCCAACACGGGATCCTCAAGTGCAAGTAGAGAACATATAATCTAGGACTTAAGTAGACTTCCTAGTTGATCAGTAAACTCTGGCGGTGGCCCTCATAGCCCTCCGGTGGTTGATAGGCCTTAAAAGTCCAACAACAAACTAATAGAAAAAGTGTGTTTAAGGCAGCACTGCATACAGAAAAAAATTAAAAAAAAATATAGTGGTATGAAGCCCAAAAATAAAAATAAAAAAGTTGGAGGAATATACTCTTGACAGCACGATACTTCGGAAGTGGCAATCAGTTCAATTGGCAACCCGAGGCTACAAGTCAAGGGAAATACCTGACGGAAGCTCGCACACCTGCAGGAAACCTGAGGATTCATTCCGAAATATTACTATTGGTGTAGTGCAACGCTTGCACTATCCACCCGGCACCAGTGCCACCTCCACCCGGCACCAGTGCCACCTCCACCCGGCACCAGTGCCACCTCCACCCGGCACCAGTGCCACCTCCACCCGGCACCAGTGCCACCTCCCACCCGGCACCAGTGCCACCTCCCACCCGGCACCAGTGCCACCTCCCACCCGGCACCACTGGCCACCTCCCACCCGGCACCACTGGCCACCTCCCACCCGGCACCACTGGCCACCTCCCACCCGGCACCACTGGCCACCTCCCACCCGGCACCAGTGGCCACCTCCCACCCGGCACCAGTGGCACCTCCCACCCGGCACCAGGGCCACCTCCCACCCGGCACCAGGGCCACCTCCCACCCGGCACCAGGGCCACCTCCCACCCGGCACCACTGGCACCTCCCACCCGGCACCAGTGCCACCTCCCACCCGGCACCACTGGCCCGACCTCCCACCCGGCACCACTGACACCTCCCACCCGGCACCAGGGCCACCGGCCCACCCGGCACCACTGGCCACCTCCCACCCGGCACCCGGCACCACCGGCCCGACCCGGCACCACCGGCCCGACCCGGCACCACCGGCACCCGGCACCACCGGCCCGACCCGGCACCACCGGCCCGACCCGGCACCACCGGCCCACCACCGTGCCCGACCCGGCACCAGTGCCACCTCCCACCCGGCACCACTGGCACCTCCCACCCGGCACGGCACCACCTCCCACCCGGCACCACCGGCACCACTGGCCACCTCCGGCCCGCACCCGGCACCACCGGCCCGACCCGGCACCACCGGCCCCACCCGGCACCACCGGCCCGACCCGGCACCACCGGCCCGACCCGGCACCACCGGCCCGACCCGGCACCACCGGCCCGACCCGGCACCACCGGCCCCACCCGCCGACCCGGCACCACCGGCCCGACCCGGCACCACCGGCCCGACCCGGCACCACCGGCCCGACCCGGCACCACCGGCCCGACCCGGCACCACCGGCCCGACCCGGCACCACCGGCCCGACCCGGCACCACCGGCCCGACCCGGCACCACCGGCCCGACCCGGCACCACCGGCCCGACCCGGCACCACCGGCCCACCGGCACCACCGGCCCGACCCGGCACCACCGGCCCGACCCGGCACCACCGGCCCGACCCGGCACCACCGGCCCGACCCGGCACCACCGGCCCGACCCGGCACCACCGGCCACCCGGCACCACCCTCCCACCCGGCACCACCGGCCCACCCGGCACCACACTGGCACCTCCCACCCGGCACCACCGGCCCCACCCGGCACCACCTGCCCACCCGGCACCCGGCACCACCGGCACCACCTCCCACCCGGCACCACCGGCCCACCTCCCACCACCGGCCCCACCGGCACCACCGGCCCGACCCGGCACCACCGGCCCGACCCGGCACCACCACCGACCCCACCCGGCGGCAACCACGGCCCACCGGCCCACCCGGCACCACCGGCACCACCACCCGACCCGGCACCACCGGCCCCACCGGCACCACCGGCCCGACCCGGCACCCCGGCACCCGGCACCTGGCACCCGGCACCACGGCACCCCGGCACCTCCCGGCACCACCGGCCCGACCACCACCGGCACCACCCGGCACCACCCCCCGACCCGGCACCAGTGCCACCTCCCACCCGGCACCAGTGCCACCGGCACCACCGGCCCGACCCGGCACCACCGGTGCACCACCGGCCCGACCCGGCACCACCGGCCCCACCCGGCACCACCGGCCCGACCCGGCACCACCCGGCACCACCGGCCCGACCCGGCACCACCGGCCCGACCCGGCACCCGGCCCACCAGTGCACCACCCTCCCACCCGGCACCACTGGCCACCTCCCACCCGGCACCGGCCTGGCCACCTCCCACCCGGCACCACTGGCCACCTCCCACCCGGCACCACTGGCCACCTCCCACCCGGCACCACCGGCCACCTCCCACCCGGCACCACCGGCCACCTCCCACCCGGCACCGGCCCCACCTCCCACCCGGCACCAGTGCCACCTCCCACCCGGCACCAGTGCCACCTCCCACCCGGCACCACTGGCACCCCCACCCGGCACCACCGGCCCACCTCCCACCCGGCACCACCCGGCCACCTCCCACCCGGCACCACCGGCCACCTCCCACCCGGCACCACCGGCCACCGGCACCACCGGCACCACTGGCCACCGGCCCACCCGGCACCACCGGCCCCACCCGGCACCACCGGCTCCCACCCGGCACCACTGGCCACCTCCCACCCGGCACCACTGGCCACCCCCACCCGGCACCACTGGCCACCTCCCACCCGGCACCACCGGCCCCACCCGGCACCACCGGCCACCCCCACCCGGCACCACCGGCCACCTCCCACCCGGCACCACCGGCACCACCTCCCACCCGGCACCACCGGCCCACCCGCACCACCGGCACCACCCGGCACCACCCACCCGGCACCACCCGACCCGGCACCACCTCCCACCCGGCACCACCGGCCCACCTCGGCACACCGGCCCGACCCGGCACCACCGGCCCACCGGCACCCCGGCCCACCCGGCACCACCGGCCCGACCCCCACCCGGCACCACCGGCACCACCGGCCCCACCCGGCACCACCGGCCCCCACCCGGCACCACCGGCCACCCCCACCCGGCACCACGGCCACCTCCCACCCGGCACCACCGGCCCACCCGGCACCACCGGCCCGACCCGGCCACCTCCCACCCGGCACCCTGGCCACCTCCCACCCGGCACCACCGGCCCCACCGGCACCACCCGCCCACCACTGCACCACCGGCCCACCCGGCACCACCGGCCCTCCCACCCGGCACCACCGGCCCCTCCCACCCGGCACCACTGGCCACCCCCACCCGGCACCACCGGCCACCTCCCACCCGGCACCACTGGCCACCTCCGGCACCACCCGCCCGACCCGGCACCACCGGCCCACCCGGCACCACCGGCCACCTCCCACCCGGCACCACTGGCCACCTCCCACCCGGCACCACTGGCCACCTCCCACCCGGCACCACAGGCCACCTCCCACCCGGCACCACTGGCCCCCACCCGGCACCACTGGCCACCTCCCACCCGGCACCACTGGCCACCCCCACCCGGCACCACTGGCCACCTCCCACCCGGCACCACCGGCCCGACCCGGCACCACCGGCTCCCACCCGGCACCACTGGCCACCTCCCACCGGCACCACCGGCCACCTCCCACCCGGCACCACTGGCCACCTCCCACCCGGCACCACTGGCCACCTCCCACCCGGCACCACTGGCCACCTCCCACCCGGCACCACTGGCCACCTCCCACCCGGCACCACTGGCCACCCCCACCCGGCACCACCGGCCACCTCCCACCCGGCACCACTGGCCACCTCCCACCCGGCACCACTGGCCACCTCCCACCCGGCACCACTGGCCACCTCCCACCCGGCACCACTGGCCACCTCCCACCCGGCACCACTGGCCACCTCCCACCCGGCACCACTGGCCACCCGGCACCCACCCGGCACCACTGGCCCCACCCGGCACCACCGGCCCCACCCGGCACCACCGGCCACCTCCCACCCGGCACCACTGGCCACCTCCCACCCGGCACCACCGGCCCCACCCGGCACCACCCGGCACCACTGGCCACCTCCCACCCGGCACCACTGGCCACCGGCCCACCCGGCACCACTGGCCACCTCCCACCCGGCACCACCGGCCACCCCCACCCGGCACCACTGGCCCACCCGGCACCACCGGCCCCACCCGGCACCACCGGCCCGACCCGGCACCACTGGCCACCTCCCACCCGGCACCACTGGCCACCCCCACCCGGCACCACTGGCCACCCCCACCCGGCACCACCGGCCACCTCCCACCCGGCACCACCGGCCCGACCCCCACCCGGCACCACCGGCCACCTCCCACCCGGCACCACTGGCCACCTCCCACCCGGCACCACTGGCCACCTCCCACCCGGCACCACTGGCCACCCCCACCCGGCACCACTGGCCACCTCCCACCCGGCACCACCGGCCACCTCCCACCCGGCACCACTGGCCACCTCCCACCCGGCACCACCGGCCACCTCCCACCCGGCACCACCGGCCACCGGCACCACCCGGCACCACTGGCACCACCTCCCACCCGGCACCACTGGCCACCTCCCACCACCGGCACCACTGGCCACCTCCCACCCGGCACCACCGGGCCACCTCCCACCCGGCACCACTGGCCACCTCCCACCCGGCACCACCCGCCACCACCGGCCCGCACCACTGGCCACCTCCCACCCGGCACCACTGGCCACCTCCCACCCGGCACCACTGGCCACCTCCCACCCGGCACCACTGGCCACCTCCCACCCGGCACCACTGGCCACCGGCACCCGGCACCACTGGCCACCTCCCACCCGGCACCACTGGCCACCTCCCACCCGGCACCACTGGCCACCTCCCACCCGGCACCACTGGCCACCTCCCACCCGGCACCACTGGCCACCTCCCACCCGGCACCACTGGCCACCTCCCACCCGGCACCACTGGCCACCTCCCACCCGGCACCACCGGCCACCCCCACCCGGCACCACTGGCCACCTCCCACCCGGCACCACTGGCCACCTCCCACCCGGCACCACTGGCCACCTCCCACCCCGGCACCACTGGCCACCTCCCACCCGGCACCACCGGCCACCTCCCACCCGGCACCACTGGCCACCCCCACCCGGCACCGGCTGGACCCCACCACTCCCACCCGGCACCACTGGCCACCGGCCCACCCGGCACCACTGGCCACCTCCCACCCGGCACCACTGGCCACCTCCCACCCGGCACCACTGGCCACCTCCCACCCGGCACCACTGGCCACCTCCCACCCGGCACCACCGGCCCACCCGGCACCACCTCCCACCCGGCACCACTGGCCACCTCCCACCCGGCACCACCGGCCCGACCCGGCACCACCGGCCCGACCCGCACCACCGGCCCCACCCGGCACCACCGGCCCGACCCGGCACCACCGGCCCCACCTCCCACCACCGGCCCACTGGCCACCTCCCACCCGGCACCACTGGGCACCACCTCCCGACCCGGCACCACTGGCCACCTCCCACCCGGCACCACTGGCCACCTCCCACCCGGCACCACTGGCCACCTCCCACCCGGCACCACTGGCCACCTCCCACCGGCACCACCCGCCACCACCACCCGGCCCACTGGCCACCTCCCACCCGGCACCACTGGCCACCTCCCACCCGGCACCACCGGCCCCACCCGGCACCACTGGCCACCTCCCACCCGGCACCACCGGCCCCACCCGGCACCACCGGCCACCCCCACCCGGCACCACTGGCCACCTCCCACCCGGCACCACTGGCCACCTCCCACACCGGCACCACCGGCACCACCGGCCCACCCGGCACCACTGGCCACCTCCCACCCGGCACCACCTGGCCACCTCCCACCCGGCACCACTGGCCACCTCCCACCCGGCACCACTGGCCACCTCCCACCCGGCACCACTGGCACCTCCCACCCGGCACCACTGGCCACCTCCCACCCGGCACCACTGGCCACCTCCCACCCGGCACCACCGGCCACCTCCCACCCGGCACCACCGGCACCTCCCACCCGGCACCACCGGCCCCACCCGGCACCACTGGCACCCGACGAAAGTGTTCAGGCTTTTTCCCTGTTTAGTGTTCCATTGTTATGAATATATTTATCTGTCTCAGGGAGGGGATCCACTCCTGGGAATGGATTGAGAACGACTACACAATTATTGCCATCATCTACTCTCCCTCTCTCTCTCCATGGTATGGTTAGGTTAAGGTTTGGTTAGCTTTCATAACGTTAATACGACGTATTATTGACGATAATGTGAAATACAGAATTCGAAAAATACTTGTGTACCCGATAATTCTATTTACAGAAAACCAAATTATTCAAAGAACATTTTCAGCATATACTTTTTATATTTTAATCCAACGATTTATCAGCTATAACTTGAAATAACCCGTGTTTATAACAAAGGTTCACTTACCGGTTTACGTGTAGACTATTACTGGAACCGTAATATGCTTTAACACCATCACAAATGTCTAGATGTCTATCCAGGTGGTTTGATGGGGGGGGGGGGGAAGGGGGAAGGGGGGGGGGATCTCATGGTAACGAATTTACTCTTGAGGGTGAGCTCGGTTATATATAAATGTGATAACATAATCGTGGAGGGTATGTGAAGAGAGGCGGGGAGGGGGGGAGGGAAGGGTGGAGAGATGTGAAGAAATGGGGGATTAGCTAATCCAGGGGGGCAATTGTTAGAGACCCGGGCAGCGCCGGGTACCCCTTACACCTCTAGTTAAATATAAATTAAGACTTCTTACCTTGGCCTGAGGCCGCCACCCACGCCGCCACCAAGGCCGCTGGAATCAGAATAAATAAATTAATAAACAAATAACGGTAAGTTAATGGCTTCGTGTAAACAAACGCTTCTAATGGCTTGTGGTGAGTGAGGTGGTCCAGGAGGCGGCTCTAGTAGAGTCCCTCACACCCAGGAGGCGGCTCTAGTAGAGTCCCTCACACCGTCACCATAGAGCCGTGCTCACCCTTACTTTGTCAGTGCCTCTTATTTTTGCTGATTTTATTATTTAAGTATATAAGTATATTGAGAAAATATTGAAGCAACACAATATTTTCTTTGATTATATTATAGTGATTTCTTTACAATTTGTTACTGGTATTTCTTCAGCATCGTTGTATTAGGAGGGTGTTGCGTGCTCCTGTTTAAGTAGCTCTAAGTCTTCGTTTCTATGGCGGATTGGCTGAGTTAGTACCGAATGTTGAAGATGGTGAGCAGTGGACTTGCCTGTGCAGGTTCGCACCTCCTTGTCAGTTGAAGATCAGGGCCTTGTTTGATCAGTATGATCTAAGGTGGATGGCCTGAGGGGCTATTAAGTAGAGATTACGCAAGACACACTCCCCCAACACTATATTTACGAAAGAGATATTTAGAATTATCAGGGGAAAGCGTCAAGCTATTACGACTATATAGCACTTGGAAGGAGTCAGGATAATGATTTGGGATGGGACGGGGAAAGGAATGGTGCCCAACCACTTAGACGGTCAGGGATTGAACGCCGACCTGTACGAGTGCCTCTATTATCAAAGATTTCCCTCCACACCTGACACTTCTCCCCCAGTACTGAAAACCAACACAAGCCTGCCGCTCCACACCTGACACTTCTCCCCCAGTACTGAACACCAACACAAGCCTGCCGCTCCACACCTGACACTTCTCCCCCAGTACTGAACACCAACACAAGCCTGCCGCTCCACACATGACAGTTAACGAGTCGTCTCTACCAAAGGCAAGAGCCACAGTCGCTGCTCTCTTCATGACGAGTGTTGCTGCTGCTGCTTCCCACTGGTGTTGCCGCTGGTGTTGTGTTGAGGACCGTGGAGGGTGGAGTGTGTGACAGCCCAAACAGTCTGGGTTATATACCAGTCGTTGCCCCAAGGTGAACACCAGAGGACCCCCCCCCCCACTACCCCTCTCTCAAGCAGTGTCCTTGAGCCCGAATTTCGTGCAGTACATCACCCCTTGACTGACAGTCATCAGCACTGTACATAGTCACTACACAGGATCCTCACTCCAGACGATCTTCCCCCACAGGAAGGAGTTTAGGCGCTCCACTGAAGCCTTTTCCGGGTTCCCACGGCCTGGCGTATGGCTCTGGTGATGGTGGTGTTGGAAGCTGATAGCTCTCATAAGGAAGCCCTCATCGGCTTCCACCACCACCACAGCCGTACGCCAGGCCTTGTGAACCAGGAATGGGGCTTAAGTGGAACGCCTAAACTGAGCGTCTGAGTGAAGATCGTCAACATAATCTTCACCAGACTGTGTATAGTGAAGATTGGGTAGAGGAGATTGTGGTACCTTCCCTAGAATACTCCACAATGGATAGGTCCTGGATTTGATTCCCGGGCAGGACGAAACGTTTGGGCAAGCTTTCTTACACCTGACGCCTCTGACCACGTAGCCGTAGCCTGACACGTGATAGACTCTTGTGGTGTCACCCCTGAACGGAAAGGAAATATCAGGAGAAAGCGCCAAGCCATTAGGACTATATATAGCACATGGGTCACGATAAGGATTTGGGATGGGACGGTTGTAACATTTTGTCCATGTGTGTTGATCCGGAATAATAATTCGGTTATGAGAGCTTGACATTTCATTAACGGAAGGTATACTGACGTTAAATTAGTAATAAACTTAGAATCATGCTTACAGTGGTCTTGCCTACTCATCCTTCAACTTTACTTACAAATATTAACGTGAATAAAAAAAAAAACTCTTGCCGACATAACATGATTCAGTTTTATCATTGTGTTGACAAATAGTGTGCATCATGTGACAGTTTTCCCAGAGCAGCCCACTTCAACCCTGGGAACAGTGTTAGGTCGGTGTTGCTCCAGCTTGCACGACGCAACAGGTGAGTGGGTGCGGGTGGCAGTGTCCCAGCGTCCCAGCCCGTCCTCCACGCCCGTCCTCCACGCCCGTCCTCCATGTCCGTCCTCCACGCCCGTCCTCCACGCCCTACCTCACCCCAAACACGCATTCGTTCATTTAAATATAAATCGACTATATATAATTAGAAGCCGAAGTTAGGTGCTTAGGTTCTGTTGACACTTATTTGTATTTGGGGTACGTGGTTGAAGCCGTAATGGAAATGATGTTAGAGGATATTATGGGAGTGAAGCACAGGTTGAGAACAGTCAGATCATCACCTTCGAAAATGGTTTTAATTCATAAACAGTGTGGTGGGGGGGGGGGGGGGGAGGTGTTGTCTGGTGGATTAACAAGCTTTCGTCAGTACTGATGACAAGTTGCACTTCAAGGTTATCACTGGATTCTGATCTTTATTTCTTGAGTCGAGCTTTAGAATTCAGACTAAATGATCGATACTTGAGGAAAGTGAGTGTAGGACGTCCCGCACTTGGCGAGAGGGGCTCCATCACCAGCAAGTCTGGGTCATGTAGTGAAGATCGTGGCTGTAGAACAAGACGATTAACAGAAGGCATAAACTACCTCAGCGGGCAGTTTACGTTAGCTTTGTAATCTATCTGCGCACAAGTCATTTTGGTAATACTTATAAACATCAGTTCCTGCGACGGCGCTGGAAAAAATCGTATTGGTGGTTTGCCTTTCCATTGGAGACTTTTAGCGCCGTGGAAAGGGGGGACCTGCTGCTTGGGTAACAGCTTCTCCTCCATATCAACCTACCCTGGCTTTGCACCCTGGAGAGGCCACTCCAGACCGACAACCAGAGCACAACTCCATAATCTCCTGAGACTGATGCAACCCGTTCTCGCACTTTCTTATAGTCAATGTTGACTTATTTAATACGTGCATATGTGACATACTAAACATATTAGTTTACCTTGAAAAGCTTCATAGAAAACACCGACCTTACCTAACCTTCTTAGTATGTTAAGATAAACATCTAATTGCTTCGTAATTACAATTATTACTTAACCTATACCTATAATAGGTTAAGTAATAATTGTAATTACGAAGCAATGAGATGCTTATCTTAACATACTAAGAAGGTTTGGTAAGGTCGGTGTTTTCTATGAAGCTATTCAAGGTAAACTAGTATGTTTAGTATGTCACATATGCACGTATTTAATAAGTCAATATTGACTACGAAAGTGCGAGAACTGGTTGACTGATGGATGCCTACTACTACAATATTGACAATTATTTTATATTATGAATAAACAGTAACTAATAATAATTTGTTTATGCTTTCATAAAATTTTCTCCATCTGCTAGAAGCGACATATGGATATAGTTCACGAATTTCTGATGCAGTATTTATTATTTAAAAGGATTTATTTCATGTAACTTATTTTTAGAATTAACTCTAAATGGGTTAGTTTTCACACGGTGTAAGATGTAAGGCTGTAGTCGTAGCGTGTGTACTTGGCTGCCCACACACTTTACACGTTGTCATCTACATCCCCGTACAAACTAAACTGCTGGAGACACCTGTAGTGAAGTTGTATTCCAGCTGTGACAACATCTGTCCCTCTGCTGGTTCTTACTTCTCCCATACAAGTGCTTTCATACAGGAGTCGCTGGAAATTCTTACAATACCTGTACAACAAATTGACACTTCCAATTTTACACACACACACACACACACACACACATTCTGCATATTTCTGGACTGCCAAAAAGCCTTTGATACAGTACCGCACATGAGACTGCTGTTCAAGCTCGAGAGGCAGGCGGGGGTGGGGGGAAAGGTCCTAGAATGGATAAGGAACTACCTAACAGGAAGGAGCCAAAGAGTTACGGTAAGGGGCGAGAAGTCGGACTGGCGAACAGTAACAAGTGGAGTACCACAAGGATCGGTGCTGGGACCAATTCTATTTCTTGTATATGTTAACGACATGTTTACAGGCGTAGAGTCCTACATGTCGATGTTTGCGGATGATGCAAAGTTGATGAGAAGAGTTGTGACAGATGAGGATTGCAGGATCCTCCAAGAGGACCTGAACAGATTGCAGAGATGGTCAGAGAAATGGCTACTAGAATTCAACACGAGCAAATGTAAAGTTATGGAAATGGGACTAGGAGATAGGAGACCAAAGGGACAGTACACAATGAAGGGGAACAGCCTACCTGTAACGACGCGTGAAAGAGACCTGGGGGTGGACGTAACACCTAATCTATCTCCTGAGGCACATATTAATAGGATAACGACAGCAGCGTACTCTACACTGGCAAAAGTTAGAACATCATTCAGAAACCTAAGTAAGGAGGCATTTAGGGCGCTTTACACTGCCTACGTAAGGCCAGTCTTAGAGTATGCCGCCTCATCATGGAGTCCCCATCTGAAGAAGCATATAATGAAACTGGAAAAGGTTCAGAGGTTTGCAACGAGACTCGTCCCAGAGCTACGAGGGATGGGGTATGAAGAGCGCCTGAGGGAACTGTGCCTTACGACACTAGAAAGAAGAAGGGAGAGGGGGGACATGATAGGAACGTATAAGATACTCAGAGGAATTGACAGAGTGGACATAGACGAAATGTTCACACGGAATAGTAACAGAACGAGAGGACATGGATGGAAGCTTGAAACTCAGATGAGTCACAGAGATGTTAGGAAGTTTTCTTTTAGCGTGAGAGTAGTGGGGAAATGGAATGCACTTCAGGAACAGGTTGTGGAAGCAAATACTATTCATAATTTTAAAACCAGGTATGATAGGGAAATGGGACAGGAGTCATTGCTGTAAACAACCGATGCTCGAAAGGCGGGATCCAAGAGTCAATGCTCGATCCTGCAAGCACATATAGGTGAGTACATATAGGTGAGTACACACACACACACACACACACACACACACACACACACACACACACACACACACACACACACACACCACACACACACACACACACACACACACACACACACACACACACACACACACACACACACACACACACACACACACACACCACACACACACACCAAGCGTTTAACCAAGCACTATACGATAAAGAGTATTGGGAAGACGGGACACCACGAGTTTAGCTCTCATCCTGTAGCTACACTAGGTAATTACACACACTCCTCTCTCTCTCTCTCTCTCTCTCTCTCTCTCTCTCTCTCTCTCTCTCTCTCTCTCTCTCTCTCTCTCTCTCTCTCTGAGAGATCCAGATTTAAATCTGGCAGAGAGCGTAGATCTTAATATCGTTGTCACAACTGTGGAAGAGGAATTCAGGAGGGTACAAGCAGGCGTAGTTAGCGTCGTAGCCCCCGTCAGGTTGTCCCGAGTACCAGTCGGGGTACCCCATCTCCATCTCCACCCCATCGCTTACCCAAGTCCAGCTGCAAAGTGAATTATAATTACAAGAGCGAGAGTTTGTGAAAAAAAACACGAAATTGAAAGAGTAGAAATAGAGGGAATATTTGTGAACTCTGATATATATAGGGATTGATAACATGGGATTGATGGAGAAGGTGGGGAAAAGGAGAGAAGAGGCCTGGTCGACGACCGGGCCGCGGGGACGCTAAGCCCCGGAAGCACCTCAAGGTAAGGTTGGGGGAGAGGAGAGGACCTTCAGGAACGCCAAGAAGTAGCGTGTTACTCACATTCCCTCGTGGCCTGCGTCAGTTCCTCCTATCCAGAAACCTTCGTCCTGGAGATCTGAAAAGTGGATTATGTATTAAAGTTATCTGTAGATAAATATTAATATAAACAATTAAATGTGCTGGAGAGAGTGGGGGGGGATATAATATGTATATGCTTATATAATAGGTACAGTTTACCTCCAAACAAAACTGTGGAAATGTTTCAGTTCCATTCAGCGTTGACGTGTAAAATATCCGTAATGCTAGACTAAAATATCTGTAAATACCTTTCCTAAAACCACAGTTCCTGTAGTTAAATCCATCCGACACCAGATAGTACTGAACATAAAGATAACAGAAACTACAGAGCAAATTGGCCCATACGAGTGGCTCCTATTTAATTTATTAAAAAAATCACCCACCCTCGAATCGATCAAATCAACCGCTTCCACAGAGAACTCTTGTGAGCATCAGGTGCATCTGTACTCTATTGTACTCGATTGACAGCTCCTGCCAGTTCCGGAAGTTGCAGCATTGTGAGGAGCTGGAGGGTTTCTGTAGCTTGTAGGGTTTCTCACGCAGTTCATTGTCATTATCGGTGAATTGACGATCTCCTACCCTTAGTTTCTTCACCTGTTGTTCTATTACTCTTGTTCTGATATGTCAGAGAAGCAGCTTATGTTTGGTTTTTCTGTAATGTCGTTCTCAAAAGATCTTTGTTTATATTCTCACTCGAAGGCACTAATTTCTGGCCCTGTGGTACCCCCCTTTATATTCGTTGTTCTGTTCCTCGTGCTTGCTTATTTTGTCCTTGCATCCTTGGTTAAACTATAGGTTGGTCCAATATCTTCCAATTTCCTCATTTTGGACAGGTGCAGATTTGTCGGCTGGTTTCAGCATTTTATATTGAAACTCATTTTCTTACAGTATCCACTTTACTGTCGTCTGCCTCCTGATCTTGTCTCCGAAAATTGCAGCCCTGTTTACATGCCAGCACATAGACTGCTCATTCTTGAAGGGAACTATGAAGTCGTCTCTTGTCTCGCTTAGTTTAGCTCTACATATATCGGTATTTCAGTAGAGTTCCCTCTTCTCCCAGTCAGTCTTTACAGGGCTGAAATCCCCCATGATTCAGAGCTATGGAGCCATTCCTATTTGTAATTGAGGCAGCTCTTACTATGATAACAACAGCTGTTCTCTGGTTTTTGTCTTACTCCTGCCTGAATCTTGTCATTTTGTTGTGATGTATGGCAGTGCCATTAGTAATTAAGGACTTGCCATCGTTTTTGTTCCAGTTAACCTCTAAACTGTAAATCCGCCATGTTTAAGAGCCATAGTCCCAGAGCCTTGGCTGGCTCTGGGACTAACAACTCCTCAGATGTCTTATCTTCTCATTCCTCTTACAGCATGCTCGTCTTGAGGGAATACAGCATTTGTGATACCTGACAGTTTCGTTTATAAAGAGTACCTTTACATCCAGGTTCTCCTTTTCTGTTCATTGCATAGGACTGCCTTGTTTGCAATCCCATTTATGTTGACGTACGTGACTCTAAAATGCACTTCTTTGCATCTCTGTTACAAGCTGCACTATCCTCTGTTTCCCTGGTGTGGGTAATATATAGTTGAGGGGAAACTGAGTGTAGGTGCTGAGGATTCGAGTTAAACTTAAATTCCATATACAAAATTGTGTAGATGGCAGAGGGGGGACAGGCAGAGTTTGGGAGAAGGATCAGTGTGTGTATATGGTGTGAGTAGCGAGGAGTAGGAGATGCTGGAGGAGGTGATGAATGTGTTCATGGCTGCTCTGGGGTCATTGAACTGGAGGACGTTGATTCCTTACTGTTCCCGCCCTTCATTGTGCTATCTCTTCGCTCTTCTGTTTGCAGCCCTGGAAAAAACTACTACTTTGTAACCTTTTGCATATTGCAATTTGTTCTTCCCAAGGACAGTCACTTTTATTTCCTCGATTGGAAATATTTTCTTTACCAGTCGATTTGTTTCTTTCCTATACTGGCCAAACCTGAAATTATTTTTTCGTCTTCCCTTTCCACATACACCTTTGAGAAGATCCCTCTCGCAGGATCTGTTCCTCATATTCCTCTTCTCTTTTTCAGCTCTTCCCCCCCCCCCCCCCCTCTCCTACCTCTTTCTCCTTCTACTATTGATCTTCTTTTCATCTCTAGCAGTTGGCTGGTGCACTTTCCTGCGAGGTGGCCGTCTGAACGACCACTTCCTACAGTGCTTTCTTGACATCTGGATCTCTTTTGCTAATATCTACAAATGTGATCTTTCTTAAAGGTTCCTCCACTGGTTGATTGGTCGCTACCTTGGTCTTGTTTGTCCCATCTTGGGTGACTTTCATCGAGGATCCGTACTTCTTCTTTGCCTAACTTCTGCTCTCTCTATCTCTCGACCTTGTTTGTTTCTTTCATGATAGTCACGTCCAGTCTCGTCTCCATTAATCTTTCCTGTAGTTCGCTTGTAGTCGGTTTTTACCCTTTTAGTTCTCAAATTTGTCTTGTGATAACTTGATCTGAAAGGCTGTTGTGTGAAGCGGCTCGCAGGCCCTCGTGTTCATAACAACCCGGGTGGCAAAGAACTTTCTGCAGGAACTTGTTCAATTGCCTCATGAAAACCTTCACTTGTGTTCCAACAATATTTTCTGCATCTGGTGAAAGGAGGTTGAGGAGCCGTGTTCTCTGCTCGTGTCTGCGGCGCCTCAACTCTTCACTGTGTCCACGCTGCGGGTATCATTGGTCATCTTGCTTCAGTAAACTGTTAGTTTATTGTGAACATTTGGAACCTGGCCTTTCAGCATCTTCCATGTAGATTAAAAATGACCACCCATGATTTTGACAGTTTTTCTTCTGTTTTAGTGTCAGCATCTTCCCTGTCATCCTCCATCCCCCCACCCTTCCCTCCAACCAGACACCAGCTAAGACCAGACACACGACCTCATGCCAACCCATGGTGGATAGCCAACCGAACTTTCAAGCCTCCTCTCTCTACACCCAAATCCTTTTCCAGAATTTCGCCTCCCCATCCGTCTTCCTCACCCATTCTCTCCAAACCTCGGACATCAAATCCGAAATCCTTCCCCTGCCTCACCTGGGTGCAGTATGATGTACTGCTGCACTTTGCTGTGGAGGTCACCCTTTGGCTCGGCCAGGTTGGTCCCGTCGGCTTGACACAAGGCCCTCATGGTGGCCCACGAACCCTTGCTGGTGACGACGAACTTGAAGCACTAGGGCGTCACCGGGTCCGTGCTCAAGTTTTCGTAGCCGGATGGACACGGGTTCACTGTGGAGGAAGCCCGAGTGAACTGCATTATGTATTGTGTACAAAAAAGTGGTCTTATTTTGATAAGTCCATGTTTTGTATATTCCAACCAGAGTAACTATAGATACTATCGTTCTTGGAGGATACTTGAACGTTAGACGTGGAGACCATTTAATCACGGTACAAAGTAATGGTATTGATAATAAAAGCTAGATCTTACCTTGACCGGAGGCCACCGTAAACGCCGCTGAAATATGAATTAAGAAATTAGTTTGGAAGTAAAATTATGCATACAAAATTATATATTATATATATATATATAAATATAAATTATATATATAAATATAAATTATATATATATAAATATAAATTATATATATATAAATATAAATTATATATATAAATATAAATTATAAATATAAATTATATATGTTTTATCAAATTGTCAACCACAGGACCATGAATAACAAAATTTCATTCATCTGAGTACTAGTTCTACCTCTTCGTCCTCACTTCAATACACACAGAAATCACAATAGCATTTATTTTTACAATGTTGTGACGCAATCAACTAAGGTGCGTCTGGGATCATCCTGGACGTAGGTTCGAACCCTCATCATGGCCCTTGTGGATTTGTTCATTTGATGTATCACGCTATTGCGATTTCTGTGTATTATCGTACCTTAGTTCTTTCACTCCCTCCCACTCCCCCCCTCTCCCACAGTAGAGCCAGCCAAGAGGTAATAAGAGTGCCAGGCGGCACTAGGACACAACTGACACTTCTCCCCCAGTACTGAACACCAACACAAGCCTGCCGCTCCACACATGACACTTCTCCCCTAGTACAGAACACCAACACAAGCCTGCAGCTCCACACCTGAGACTTCTCCCCCAGTACTGAACACCAACACAAGCCTGCCGCTCCACACATGACACTTCTCCCCTAGTACAGAACACCAACACAAGCCTGCCGCTCCACACATGACAGTTAACGAGTCTCCTCTACCAAAGGCAAGAGCCACAGTCGCTGCTCTCTTCATGACGAGTGTTGCTGCTGGTAATGGTGGTAGTGGTGGTGGTGCCGTGTTGTGTGACCGTCGAGGGAGGACTGGGAGGAGGCGAGATCGTCTGGGTTATATACCGTCGTCGCGGCGAGGACCGGCAAAAGACCCCCCTCCCCCCTTCGATAGTTCCCCATGGTACGAATTTTCTGGGTCACTCCACATTTCAACCGACGTAATCAAAACACATCCTCACTACCCGTGATCTTAACCGCACACGGTCTTCACCATACTCGATGCTTACTGACCAGGATCTTCATTATATACGACTTTACTATGCACGATCTTCACTCCACAGTCCTGACTTTACACCGAAATTGAAGAGCTTCAGTATACATGATGACTCCGGCTACGGCCAGATTACGCTGTACCCGGCACGGGAACTTGGCATGGGCGAGCCTAGTGTGGCAGTGGGTGTCTTCGCTGGATCTTTAACCACTTGGACTGGACGGTAGAGCGACGGTCTCGCTTCATGCAGGTCGGCGTTCAATGCCCCAACCATCCAAGTGGTTGGGCACCATTCTTTAACCCCGTCCCATCCCAAATCCTTATCCTGACCCCTTCCAAGTGCTATATAGTCGTAATGGCTTGGCGCTTTTCCCTTGATAATTCCGTTCCGTTGCCCCCTACGCTTAAGGTGAAGATCGTCTCCGGTGTCTTCCCCAGGTCGTGTGCGGTGAGGACTCTGTGTGTGTCCCCTGGAGCACCATCACGGTTTCTGACGCTGCTTCACAACGGATTGGTCCTAATTTCCGGCCATTGCAAGACGTATGACCACGTTTTCTGGCGCTGAATGCCTCTATTCACCTTGCAGTAATTGGGTAGAGGTGTGGGTCGTGTCGTTGGGAAGGTCAGACTTGCAAGACCTACACAAGCCTAACAACCTTTGTGGGTAATAACATTTGAGTCAACAGAATCACCGGGGGTGGGGGGGGGGTTGAACGTTGTTCACAGTTGACGCCTCGATTGTCTGATGAAAATTAAGCAACCCAAGAGGTGGCATGGGCGTGAATAGCCCGTAAGACGCCTAGAGCCCCGCTACTAGAGATGACCTTCATGTGTGTCCTGCGTCTTCGTTCTAATTTAGATATGGAAAATTGACTTTTTTATTTAATGGAAAAAATGGGATTTGCAGCCGTGTTTTGATCTGGATTAATATATTAGTTATGAGAGCCTGACGTCTTGTCAACAGAGGGGCATATATAACGGTAAATTAAAAATAAGAGAACCAGGCCTATTGTCCTCATCGTAGGCGTCCGTACACGGTGTACGGACTGGTCGTGCGTACACTGTGTACAGACTGGTCGTGCGTACACTGTGTACAGACTGGTCGTGCGTACACTGTGTACAGACTGGTCGTGCGTACACTGTGTACAGACTGGTCGTGCGTACACTGTGTACAGACTGGTCGTGCGTACACTGTGTACAGACTGGTCGTGCGTACACTGTGTACAGACTGGTCGTGCGTACACTGTGTACAGACTGGTCGTGCGTACACTGTGTACGGACTGGTCGTGCGTACACTGTGTACAGACTGGTCGTGCGTACACTGTGTACAGACTGGTCGTGCGTACACTGTGTACAGACTAGTCGTCCGTACACTGTGTACGGACTGGTCGTGCGTACACTGTGTACGGACTGGTCGTGCGTACACGGTGTACGGACTGGCTGTGCGTACACGGTGTACGGACTGGCTGTGCGTACACGGTGTACGGACTGGCTGTGTGTACACGGTGTACGGACTGGCTGTGCGTACACTGTGTACGGACTGGCTGTGTACACATGGTGTACGGACTGGCTGTGCGTACACTGTGTGCGGACTGGCTGTGCGTACACTGTGTGCGGACTGGCTGTGCGTACACTGTGTACGGACTGGCTGTGTGTACACGGTGTACGGAGTGGCTGTGCGTACACTGTGTACGGACTGGCTGTGTACACACGGTGTACGGACTGGCTGTGTACACACGGTGTACGGACTGGCTGTGTGTACACGGTGTACGGACTGGCTGTGCGTACACTGTGTACGGACTGGCTGTGTACACATGGTGTACGGACTGGCTGTGCGTACACTGTGTGCGGACTGGCTGTGTGTACACGGTGTACGGGCTGGCTGTGTGTACACGGTGTACGGACTGGCTGTGCGTACACTGTGTACGGACTGGCTGTGTACACACGGTGTACGGACTGGCTGTGTACACACGGTGTACGGACTGGCTGTGTACACTGTGTACAGACTGGTCGTGCGTACACTGTGTACGGACTGGTCGTGCGTACACTGTGTACAGACTGGTCGTGCGTACACTGTGTACGGACTGGTCGTGCGTACACTGTGTACAGACTGGTCGTGCGTACACTGTGTACGGACTGGTCGTGCGTACACTGTGTACGGACTGGTCGTGCGTACACTGTGTACGGACTGGTCGTGCGTACACTGTGTACAGACTGGTCGTGCGTACACTGTGTACGGACTGGTCGTGCGTACACTGTGTACAGACTGGTCGTGCGTACACTGTGTACGGACTGGTCGTGCGTACACTGTGTACAGACTGGTCGTGCGTACACTGTGTACAGACTGGTCGTGCGTACACTGTGTACAGACTGGTCGTGCGTACACTGTGTACGGACTGGTCGTGCGTACACTGTGTACGGACTGGTCGTGCGTACACTGTGTACAGACTGGTCGTGCGTACACTGTGTACAGACTGGTCGTGCGTACACTGTGTACAGACTGGTCGTGCGTACACTGTGTACGGACTGGTCGTGCGTACACTATACATATGAACCTAAGAGAACCTCTGACCTAATATAACGATGCGATTCGACGGAATTCTGTTGATGATAAATCCATTAAGCGTCACGTGATAGTTTTCTCACAGTAGCCCACCTTATCCCTGGGAACTGTGGCGGGTCGGTGCTACCTCGCCTGCCTTTCGTACCCCACACTTGACGAATGGGGCTACGTGACCCCCCACACACTTGACGAATGGGGCTACGTGACCCCCCACACACTTGACGAATGGGGCTACGTGACCCCCCACACACTTGACGAATGGGGCTACGTGACCCCCCACACACTTGACGAATGGGGCTACGTGACCCCCCACACACTTGACGAATGGGGCTACGTGACCCCCCACACACTTGACGAATGGGGCTACGTGACCCCCCACACACTTGACGAATGGGGCTACGTGACCCCCACACACTTGACGAATGGGGCTACGTGACCCCCCACACACTTGACGAATGGGGCTACGTGACCCCCCACACACTTGACGAATGGGGCTACGTGACCCCCCACACACTTGACGAATGGGGCTACGTGACCCCCCCACACACTTGACGAATGGGGCTACGTGACCCCCCACACACTTGACGAATGGGGCTACGTGACCCCACACACTTGACGAATGGGGCTACGTGACCCCACACACTTGACGTAGTGTACTGCAGTCTTGTATTGTAGGTCTCTTACTGCACTTTAATGCTTGTATTCTACTTGTAGCTATTGTAACTTCAATTCGTAATCCGAGGACAAAATATATTTTTAATTGTGTCAGTGTGACGGTTTTTGAACTTATATTTGACATCTTTCTTTGAGCGAAGCACCTGTGAACCATTCATCCGGGCTCCAGGAGACTCGAACTGTGGACCTCACGCTTGTGAGGCAGGAGCACTATCCACTCAGCTATGAGTAGTCATAATAAGAACAGATTCCAGAAGCAACAGCCTGCTGCCAAACTGTATTTTTACTTATGGACCACGCCAGCTAGCGAACTGCGTCAGTCTGGCGCCTGTTGATCTGAGGAGTTATTTCATGGGGCCTTGACATGTGTCATGGGGTCATGCAATGTTATGGGGTCATGTAATGTCATGGGGGTCATGTCATGTGGTTGTATGTCATTTACGTCCAGTTTGGCTCGTTGAACTAAATGTATTTTTTGGTACTCTTAAACATAATAAGATACACATACATAACTATTTTATTAAAATGTTCACACAACATGCTAGGCTGTCTTTGTGGCGTGTTTGTGAAACTCTGTCTTCCGTCAGGAGATTTTATTAAGAAGCAAAAAATACTTAAGTGAACGGAAGTATAATTAGTCATAAAACTTTCCATTGTTTTCCATCTTATAACCAATCACGATGTGGGAAAAAAGCAGAAGTTATTATTCCTGAGCAGTTTTGCTGATAACATAGTGATTAATATGTATTAATTAGTTAAGATTTCGTTGGAATATTTGCCACAATTTGGAAGACGGAATACAAAAAAACATTCTGTATAACAAAAATTTTCGAACAGTTTAAATCGTATATTTCAGAATTAAATCTGGCAGAGAGCGTAGATGAGGATATTGTTTGCGCAGCTGTGGAAGTAGAAGTCTGGAGTGTAGATGCAGGCGTAGTTCTCGTCCAAGCCTCCATCGGGCTGGCCCGGGTACCAGTCCGGGCTAAAAATGTTCATATCTGCGCCATCACTGACCCACGTCCAGCTGCGGGGGAGAGTCAGAGTTACCGCAGGAAGAGGTAGAGATGTGTGGGTTAGGTGGAGGAAGCTCCTGTCCTCCAGTTTACTTACATATGTCAAGATTGGTAGATGCGTTGTCTTGTGTTGTACTAGATAGGAGGGCGGGTGTCACGTGTGTGTCACGTGTGTGTCACGTGTGTCGGTATGTATCAGGCTGTGGCAGAAAAATCATCAGTTGTGTGGACTTGGACTGTGTGGGGGTGGAGCCACGGTGGCATTAACGTCATCAAAATTGACATCATTGAAAGGAATTTCCTCTGCTAAGGGCAGAGTATCATATGTAGAATATTCGGTAATTTTCCCGAGATCAGGGCATAATGTTTTATGGTATTGTTAGAAAAGTACATTTTAATTTGTTATTGTTAGTGTAGTTAGTAAAGAGCCATTAGCCAGTGCCAGCCTCGTTGTGGGGTTCAGTGGCACGCACGTAACCCTAATCATCATACCAAGTTGGGCCAGGCCGGCCCCAACCATCTGACTTCCAGTTAATTTTTCTCCTAAACAATTACAAGGCCTAGATGTAGTACAGAATGATGCCATGCGCATCATCCTGGGTTGTCCTAGAACTGTCAGAATTGTTAACATGAGAAAGGGACTAAACTTACCTTCCATTTACGAAAAAATAGTTCTACTTAGTACTATGTTTTGCGCCAAAACTTTGAAAAATAATGGTCCCCCAGCTCTATTCAAATTAAATTGAGATCCATTCTAAACAATTCTGACTGTTCCCTCAATCCGCCGCAAAAAGCTCCCTACAGTGTGTGGCTCAGTTGTTGTGCCTATAATCTTCAGAAACTGAATGTATCTCTTAACCCTGATAAAACTGTTCACTATATTTCCCCTTGGAAAGATGTGGAGGTCTCTCTGCATTATACTCCCATCAGTGTAAAACAAATGTATAACACTGACATTTTGAGATGTATAACATTAGAAGCTATTGACAGTCATCTTCAAATTCTCAAACCGACTGAATCCTATGCCTTTACTGATGGCTCTGTGCAGTTAGGCACTGGTAGAACAGGTTGTGCATGTGCAGTGTATAAAGGGAATGAATTGATCATGACTAGTACAGAGATTGAACAACTGGGCAAGTACGACACAGACCGAGCTATTGGGTATTTATCTAGCCACTGAATACCTTAAGCTCAATGGTGGTGGAGTGATATTCTGTGACTCTAAAAGTGCTCTGCAGTCCTTAAATAACCCATCACAATATACGTCGGAAGTAGCTTGTAATATTAAATGGAATGTAATTTTTGCCAATGATAATAACTCTTGTATAAAATTTGTGTGGATCCCATCCCATGTTGGAGTTGGAAAACATGACTTTGTAGATCAATTGGCCAATGAGGCTTGCAGGAAAGAAAACATTGATTATGACTTTGGACTATCTAATGCAGTTATTAGAAACATAGAAATTAATTCAGATTTAGAAGAACTAAGAAATGCCCAGAGACCTGAAAGCTGCAGTATTAAAAGTTATGACAAGTTTTGTAATAATAGGTATTTGTATGGTCAGCACAGTAACCGGACCAGGCAATGTGATGTAGTCATTGCGCGAATTCGCCTTGGCTATAGACACATCTGGCAGGTTAGTGAGGCTGAGCCACTACCAGAATATTCAGATTGTAAACTCTGTGATAAACCTTTAATGCATTCACTAGAACACTATATTGATGAATGTGAAACCGTAAAGGACTTTAGACCTCCTGGCCTCTTGTACCACCAACTGTGTAACTATTTTATTGACTCGGGTGTTCTGGACGACATCCTAACAATTTACCCAAAATTTGCTTGTCCATTTTAAAGAATGAAGAACAATTTTTATTTATATTACTTCTAAGCTGTATCACTTATGAACCCATCTCTGCCCTTGTGTGGCAGTGCACAATAGAAAGTGGTTTTCACATATCCATACATTAAAACATTGATTGTAACCATGATATATATGTGCTTCAGCCTACAGCTTAGACCTATTGTCTTATGTATGACCCTCTGTCCTGCGTGACAGTGAATACTAGCATTATCCTCACTTTAATAAGACCTATCAAAATCCTCAGATTAGGCAAAATTGTAATTAATTTTGTCAATAAAGATGTTAATAATAATAACTTCCAGCCACTTTTTTTTAGGATTAGATGTTATATTATTTGCTATATTAGATTTTTATATTTACTAAGATTATGTAGATATTTGACCAATAAACTAATGAATTCTATAGTAGCGGTTAACTGAAATGACCTCGGCTTTCACAACCACGTGGGCTGGACGGTAGAGCGACGGTCTCGCTTCTTGCAGGTCGGCGTTCAATCCCCGACCGTCTAAGTGCTTAGACACCATACCCCCCCTTATCCCGTCCCAATCCTAATCCTGACTCCTTCCAAGTGCTATATAGTCATAATAGCTTGACGCGCTCTCCTGATAGTTCCCTTCCCTTCCACTGCTTGCATTCCTCCCATCCTACCCTGCTAAACGTAAGAGTCAGTAGGAGGGGGGGGGGCGGGGGATGTTTAGCTGGGAGGGCTGTGAGGTGGGCGCGAACCTACGACCAAGGCATTACCAGTCGACGTACTCCACAAGTTATGGTGGTCCAGTGGTAGAGTACACGACTGGCCACGCCTTGGCCGAAGGTTTGGGCCCACCTCACAGCCCTGGAGGATTTTCTCTTATTATTATTGTTATTGTTATTATTATTATTATTATTATTATATGTCTGCCACCTTGTAATCACACAGCTTGTACCCCGAGTCATGGCGGCTCGGCTCTGACACTCTTAATCGACTGTGATCAAATCAATATTTTTTTCACAGGGTTTATAAACTACTTCTGAAATTAAAGAAAGACCACCGATGCCCGAAAATCCTTGTGATTCTCTTACAGGTCGATCATATCTGTCAAAATAAGATTACTTCACCAAGTCACATAACGTGTGTGTGACCTTCAGGAACAGTGAGTAGCGTGTTACTTACTTTCCCTCTTGGTCTTCGTCAGTTCCTCCTATCCAGAAACCTTCGTCCTGGAGATCTGAAAATTTGGATTATATATTAAAGTTTATCTGTAGAATTATAATGGACGAAATTAAACGAAGATATATTTTAGTCTTTAAACTAAACTGCTGTATTGTTTCGGTTGCCAATTATTAATGCAAGACGGCGAATGACGCTTCTTTTACGAATACAGCTCGTGTGGCTAACTCTGCCTGGCACCAGGTGCCAGTGTACCCCATAGCCGGCTAGCACCAGGCGCCACAGCGCCTCTGTACTTCATAAACACCCGAAGTACTAAACAAAGTGCTAGATTTAGAAATAGGTTAAATCATTAGGATTCAAGGAGAGGATTCAACGCCACAACCTTGGTCGTGTTGGCTAGTCTGGCGCCCCTCCCCTCTGACTCTTGTGCCCACCACGTTCAAGCTTTCTTGCTGGGTGTCTCCAGCTCAAGCGCTGAAGGTGTGTGCTTCAGGTGTGGTCTTGGCCATGGTGAACACCAAGACATGTCCAGCCTTGTCAAGAAAACGCCTCAGACTCGAAGTAGATGGTGATGGAGACGTCAAACCACTTATAATATCTCCCAATCCTGAGCACTCCAGGTGCAAACTCTGAGCAGGAACTGGGGCATGATCTCCCACACTAAATCACCGAATGCCCAGTTATTAGACCTTTCAAATCCGTTGGCATGAGGTACCTGGAGCTATGTAATTACTTTATTAACCTTTGTGTTGTTGATATCCTCATAATTCACCCAGAGTCTGTCAGTGCAGACTACTCATCACATGCCTCTGTATGACTAACCATCCTGTGTGATGGGGATGTTTAGCATCACGTAGCTAGTTTTTTTGACACACTGTACTCCCCTTCATATAGTCTAGGGTAGCTGCATAAATGCAGATGTACCCAAATGTGTTCATTATTTTTTTATTATTATTATTAAGAGTTCTTGGACAAAAATAAGGCAGCACTAGACATAAGGGAGGGGGTCACTGTCATGTGTGGTGAGCCAAGGCAAGGAGTTGGCAGTGAAGTTGAGACTTATTAACGAATAATTGTTAGTCTTGTATTGTAAAACAGCGAGACTGTGAGGGCCGAGTTCATCTCTGATAATGAGTGGCTGTTTTGCCATAGTTGTAGGACATGTCGGAAAATCCGACACCATTTAATAATATCATACAGGCAGATAATATTGCTGTGTTGTATAAACAAGTTAATCCATAGAAAATGTAACTTGTAGTGGAATTTCCGTCTATAGAAAACGGGATATCATTACCACATACTATTATAAATTTACCACCTATTATGGTGGGAATTATTCTTAAATACATTAGTCTTTGGACTTTACCATCATAAAAACATCTCATATAAATTAACTTAATTATCAGAATTAAAATAGAGTAAATGTGACCCTTCTATCACTTACTGTCATCTGGACAATGTAGGCCAGTAGCGTCAGTTGTGAGGGAGTGGTCAACCATTGTTATTGTACTTAGACCAGAGGCTCACACGAGCCATTCGGCTCCTGTTAATTTTACTTGGACGTAGTGTTATGGAAACCAAAGGTGTACCATTATCAACACGCTGTCAACAAATACAAGTTAAGTGTTCTGCCGAAACCCATTTATCTATCATTTATGGCCATTAATGTCATTAGATAGGGTGTGCCGGTTAGAATACGAGATCGCCTCATACTAAAGGTAATTAAGCCTAGGTCTTTATGGTTCCTTGTACAGTGTTTTCTCTGATATAGCTGTCATATATTAGGATTCTGGCTTCATAGCTAGCGCCCTTTTGACAGGTCAAGACGAGGAAGCATGCTTTGTGCATCAGTTACCAGGGTGTTGGAAGCTACCTCAAAGAGGATAATTTGGTGTCTACATCCTGGTTATACCTGGTGGACTAAGGCCTGCTGTACAATAAGATAAGGAACCTCTTCAATGTTTAACAATATGTGTAGTTAATACTGTAGTTTGATTGGCTGCATATATATAAATTTAATATAAACCCCCCCTAATGTGTAGAGGATCGATTTGTGAGATTATTGCAGAAATACAGTCCACTAATCATCATACCAATTACTATCGAAGTATATAAATTAACGTAAATATAAATTCATATAAATTAAATATAAATCTCACAGGTCGGTTCCCACAGGACATAGTGTGGGAAACTTTCCTTACACCTGCATACCCATCCGCTGCTTAATGAGAGAGTAAGTCAGTTCAGAAAATGGGAAAATATTTATTGCTATTTCGAGCCACGTCGTTTTAGTCAAAATGAAGGAAAAATGTTCTTTGTAAAAGAGCACAAAAATGTTGTCTTCCAGTATATCATAAGAATTCTAGAAGTCTAAAGAACGAGATTAATGACCTCAGAAAACTGGCGTGTGTACTGAAAAGTCAAGCCATAATAGCACTCGATGAAACAAGGGATGGAAGGGAGAGAGTTTGGACACACCAGGATTCATCCATCTAGATAAATGAATAGGAGCAAGTGTTGTCCCTGTAGCCTGGAGGGTAGTTAACGTTGTACCAATATTAGAAGAGGAGGATAGAGTACTTACTGCTTGACACCACCATGGGAAAGATCCCGGCAGCAATGATTTTAAATTATATAACAAATGTAGAACAAAATACCGGTTTAAAAAAAACTCCATATATGGGCTTACAAGGATCATTCTTATCTTACTATTTTGTTATCGTTTAGTCAATCATTTTCAAGGCAGATAACAAATATGCCGAAGTATATCTTGGCTGTATATCTTGGCTTGGAAGAATAGTATGGTTTGCTGTGTCATTCTGATATATCTCTCGTAAACTGTTTTATATTCTCCATACCTACCCTGTCATCTTCCCACCACCTGTGTACTCACCTAGTTGTGTTTGCGGGGGTTGAACTCTGGCTCTTTGGTCCCGCCTCTCAACCGTCAATCAACAGGTATACAGATTCCTGAGCCTATTGGGCTCTATCATATCTACACTTGAAACTGTGTATGGAGTCAGCCTCTACCACATCACTTCCTAATGCATTCCATTTGCCAACTCCTTGCCTTGTGAGGGTGTATGTGTGTGTACTCACCTAGTTGTTTGCGGGGGTTGAGCTCTGGCTCTTTGGTCCCGCCTCTCAACCGTCAATCAACAGGTGTACAGATTCCTGAGCCTACTGGGCTCTATCATATCTACATTTGAAACTGTGTATGGAGTCAGCCTCCACCCACATAACTTTCTAGTGCATTCCATTTACTAACTACTCTGACACTGAAAAAGTTCTTTCTAATGTCTCTGTGGCTCATTTGGGTACTCAGCTTCCACCTGTGTCCCCTTGTTCGCGTCCTTCCAGTGTTGAATAGTTCATCCTTGTTTATCCGGTCGATTCCCCTGAGGATTTTGTAGTTTTGTAGGTGTGTGTGTGTGTGTACATCGTATCTCGGGAGAGGCGGCGTGACGAATGGTCTCACCTGGATGCTGCATGATGTACTGGTACACAGAGTTATGAAGACCGTTCCTCAGCTCGGCCAGGTTGGCTCCTTCAGCCTGACACAGGGCCCTCATGTGGTGCCACAACCCCTTCTCCGTCATGTAGAACTTTATACACATGGGCACCATCGGGTCCGTGCCGAAGTTCTCGTACGGGAAAGGACACGGGTTCACTGGAAAGGAAGCCAAAAGGAACCGTTACGTACAGTGGTGAGAGTTGCGTAATGCTACAGCATGAACTGCACTGTGGCGAGTGTTGATGAGCACTGTTACTATATGGGGGCTGGATAAGCACTGTTACTATATGGGGGCTGGATAAGCACTGTTACTATATGGGGGCTGGATAAGCACTGTTACTATATGGGGGCTGGATAAGCACTGTTACTATATGGGGGGCTGGATAAGCACTGTTACTATATGGGGGGCTGGATAAGCACTGTTACTATATGGGGGCTGGATAAGCACTGTTACTATATGGGGGCTGGATAAGCACTGTTACTATATGGGGGGCTGGATAAGCACTGTTACTATATGGGGGCTGGATAAGCACTGTTACTATATGGGGGGCTGGATAAGCACTGTTACTATATGGGGGCTGGATAAGCACTGTTACTATATGGGGGGCTGGATAAGCACTGTTACTATATGGGGGCTGGATAAGCACTGTTACTATATGGGGGCTGGATAAGCACTGTTACTGTATGGGGGCTGGATAAGCACTGTTACTATATGGGGGCTGGATAAGCACTGTTACTATATGGGGGCTGGATAAGCACTGTTACTATATGGGGGCTGGATAAGCACTGTTACTATATGGGGGCTGGATGAGCACTGTTACTATATGGGGGCTGGATAAGCACTGTTACTATATGGGGGCTGGATGAGCACTGTTACTATATGGGGGGCTGGATGAGCACTGTTACTATATGGGGGCTGGATAAGCACTGTTACTATATGGGGGCTGGATAAGCACTGTTACTGTATGGGGGCTGGATAAGCACTGTTACTATATGGGGGCTGGATGAGCACTGTTACTATATGGGGGCTGGATAAGCACTGTTACTATATGGGGGCTGGATAAGCACTGTTACTATATGGGGGCTGGATAAGCACTGTTACTGTATGGGGGCTGGATAAGCACTGTTACTATATGGGGGCTGGATAAGCACTGTTACTATATGGGGGCTGGATAAGCACTGTTACTATATGGGGGCTGGATAAGCACTGTTACTATATGGGGGCTGGATAAGCACTGTTACTATATGGGGGCTGGATAAGCACTGTTACTATATGGGGGCTGGATAAGCACTGTTACTGTATGGGGGCTGGATAAGCACTGTTACTGTATGGGGGCTGGATAAGCACTGTTACTATATGGGGGCTGGATAAGCACTGTTACTATATGGGGGCTGGATAAGCACTGTTACTGTATGGGGGCTGGATAAGCACTGTTACTATATGGGGGCTGGATAAGCACTGTTACTATATGGGGGCTGGATAAGCACTGTTACTATATGGGGGCTGGATAAGCACTGTTACTGTATGGGGGCTGGATAAGCACTGTTACTATATGGGGGCTGGATAAACATTAATGCTACTCATTGATGCCGATAGTGGACGATATCATTACAATGGTTCCTAAAGACTTGTACATGTTCTTAAGACGGATCCTCATATTGAAGAGGTCACTATTGCCGCCTTCCTTAATGCTGTGATGTTAGTGCGCGGGCCCTGAGCCTCTGGCCGGCCCACTAAGTCTTACACCTTTGTCTTACACAGGCGGCAGAAGAGTGCTGATGACTCTTGTGTAAGATTCTTTCTTTCGACGGCCGCCTTAGCAGCTCAATATTTTCTTTAGGACGACGATGAGGACTTTAGTGGAAGAATATGGCAACACCAGTCAATGGAATCATTGCACTCATTTCCAGATAGTTCGGAGTGTGGCCCAGGTGGCGGTGTGGCCCAGGTGGCGGTGTGGCCCAGGTGGCGGTGTGGCCCAGGTGGCGGTGTGGCCCAGGTGGCGGTGTGGCCCAGGTGGCGGTGTGGCCCAGGTGGAGGTGTGGCCCAGGTGGCGGTGTGGCCCAGGTGGCGGTGTGGCCCAGGTGGCGGTGTGGCCCAGGTGGAGGTGTGGCCCAGGTGGCGGTGTGGCCCAGGTGGCGGTGTGGCCCAGGTGGAGGTGTGGCCCAGGTGAGAATCGGACCAGAGTTCATTGTTATCACTCCCAATGCTACTCACTCAATGATGATCACTCACTCCCAGTTAGGAGTGAGGATCATCAAAGCTAACCAAATAATCCCTAATATATACATAATTAATGCACACAGTAAAACGATAATTGTTCTGAACATTGGAACAGGTAAATCCCACTGGTGGAGGCAGACATGTTCACGACATAAACCATAGTTGTCACACAAATTTCAGCCCCTAGATCTTACCTTGACAGGAGGCAACAGTGAGCGCCGCCGCTGAAAAATGTCGGTAATTAGTATACAAGTAAAATTATATATCACTATATCAGCACTTTTGACACTATATCATGTTTTGAGACATTTAGATGGTGATGGATTTAGAGACGTTCCAAAAATGGATGGTTTTGATCTGTAGGCTTTTGGTCCACCCCCCCCCCCCCTCCACACCTGACACTTCTCCCCCAGTACTGAACACCAACACAAGCCTGCCGCTCCACACCTGACACTTCTCCCCCAGTACTGAACACCAACACAAGCTTGCCGCTCCACACCTGACACTTCTCCCCCAGTACTGAACACCAACACAAGCCTGCCGCTCCACACATGACAGTTAACAGTCTCCTCTACCAAAGGCAAGAGCCACAGTCGCTGCTCTCTTCATGACGAGTGTTGCTGCTGCTGCTGCTGCTGCTGCTGTTGGTGTTGCTTCCCACTGGTGTTGCCGCTGGTGTTGTGTTGAGGACCGTGGAGGGTGGAGTGTGTGGCAGCCCAAACAGTCTGGGTTATATACCAGTCGTTGCCCCAAGGTGAACACCAGGGGACCCCCCTACCCTCCTCCCCCCCCCCCCCTCCTCCCTGGACATGTAGTCCCCATGTACGCGGATTCCATTTGGTGGTTGGCGTGACATCTTAACTAACACTGTGACCAACAGCGGACATCCTTGCTGTCAGTAATCTTCACAATACTCAGTACTTGCCAGCCCTGGTTCTCACTGTTCACCGTCTTGTTCACGGCCTTTGTTACACACCATCATCATTATGGACCCTCTTCACCTGGCGGAGACGCCTGTTGCAGCGAGCCTCCTACTCGCTGCTACTCCTGAAGACTGAAGACCGTGTGCCGTAGCCTCGCCAAGCTGGGCATTGTGAAGAGTGTGGAGGATTATTGTGCTTCCCTAGAACACGCCACCAAGAATTGCTCCTCGAGCCCAGCGAGACGTTTGGACAACGGTTTCTTACACCTGATGCACCTATTCAAGTAACAGGAAATAGGTACTTGGGAGTTAGTCAACTGTTGTGGGTAGCATCCCTGAAACACTTCTTGTTCCCCTCAACACGGGAACCATATTGTGGGTTGCAACAGTTTAATCAGTTGGATCAATTGCTAGAGCCTCGAGCCCTGTTGCCGGAGAATACTTCAGTGTAGGTGTGGTAGACTCTTGTAGTTTACCTACACCTGTGGATGTGGCCACAAGGAGACCTCTCACCATTATTACATGATGCAATGTGATAACGTTATGTTGATAACTACAATTGTAGGTCAGGTGATAGTTTTCTCAGCCCACTTCAACCCTGGGAAGAGTGATAAGTCTGGTTCCGTAAAGTTGCTTGATGTAATGGTAGAGTTGCAGTGGGTTGGTGCTGGTGTAAGGTCCACCACTTAACACAAGGGACCATATGACCCCACACTTGTAATAAGGTCTCTGCGCTCTAGTGTTGCTTGAGGTGAAACACTGTGTTTGTCATGCCTGATTGTCGGCCCAACCAGCCCAGCCCAACCCACCTAACCTAACATAACATAACATAACATACTCCAATGCTCGACAAAACCTAACTTAATTAGACCCTAAGCTATCCACCTAATGTTACAATATTTCTCAAATCTTCCTTGTACTTCGAAAAGCATAAAACCTAATCATGAGGCCTTTAACTACATTAATACGTTGACCAGACGACAACACTAGAAGGTGAAGGGACGACGTCGTTTCGGTCCGTCCTGGACCATTTTCAAGTCCGTAATGGTCCAAGTCTCAAGTAACTTGAGAATGGTCCACGACGGACTTCAGAATGGTCCACGACGGACTTGAGAATGGCCCACGACGGACTTGAGAATGGTCCACAACGGACCGAAACGTCGTCGTCTCTTCATCTTCTAGTGTGTGGTCTGGTCAACATTCTTTAGCCACGTTATTGTACTCATCGCCTACATTAATACGTTTAATACCTTCTTATATTAAATAAATCCTAATGTTGTAATACTGTGTCAGTGTCAAGGTCAGAAGGTGTCTTGTGGTAATGTGGGTCTGGTCAACAGTGGGCGCCATCCCGCCAACACTGTCTCACTGTGGGCTGAGTGACCTGCCACAGTCAACATCTCGAGACGGGTGAGGAATTAGGACATCAAGACTGTATTTGAAGGTACACGTCTTACCACTGGAAACAAAAGCTCCGCCTATATTATGTCAAGTTTATCTGGTTTTGTCTTCATTCCGTTAAGTGTAATTTATGTGTGTGTTACTTGTGGTTGTGGTCATTTGAGGTATTTTAACGTGATATGGGAACTATCACAACCATAGTTAACATAGAAGTGTACTTGGACATATCCGTACTTGAAATTATGCACTTGTGCTTGTATTAACATTTTTTGTAATTGTAGCTTCTTCAATACATAATTTGAGGAAAATCAACATTGTTAATTACATGCATGACAGTCAGATTTTGTCCTTAAACTGAGCTTTCTTCCTTGAGCACAGTGCCAACGAACTACGCCAGCTTATAAACAATGCTAGCTAACGAACTACGCCAGCTTATAAACAATGCTAGCTAACGAACTACGCCAGCTTATAAACAATGCTAGCTAACGAACTACGCCAGCTTATAAACAATGCTAGCTAACGAACTACGCCAGCTTATAAACAATGCTAGCTAACGAACTACGCCAGCTTACGAACCATGCGAGGGCTATTCATCACATTGTGGGAGAATAACGAAACATCTGTTGACGTAGCGCAGTCAGACGAACATTGCAGCACCGAAAGTATTGCAACATTTTGACAGCACTTTGACCAGTTAATTACTGGCTTATATTGAAAGTCAAATGTCATTGCGTTGTGAGGGGGCGGCATGTCCTGGTGCACGGGTGGAGTTGTGGTGATGTGTAGTGTCATTAACAGCCAACCTCACACACTGACTACATATGACTCCTGAGTGCATGGGGGGGGGGAGGTTGTGTGAAACCTCGGTTAGGCTTCAGTGGAAGTCGCGGGATCCTTGTGGGTGCGGTAATACTCCAGGTTGCAATTCTTTTGACCATGTGGTGGTGCAGTCGACTAGAGTGCGCCTGGGAACACCCAGCGCATAGGTTCGAACCCTCATCAAGGCTCCTGTTGGATTTGTTACAGTGACTACATGATATATAATGTGTGTATGCAGCGTGCGCGCGCGCGTGCCGCAGCTACCCACATTGAAAGATGAGGGAATGCTAAAGCACTTTCAATATTATATTGCCACATTATTCCTCACCTGTCAATTTCTGTGAATTATACAAGTGTATGTATGTATGTATATGTGTGTGGGTATGTATGTGTGGCTCGGTCTTTAACATGGGAAACCTGACCAGTCTCCTAAGGTAACCTTTGTCTAAAAAAACAAAAGTATATTGATGTTTTCTTTATTTGCACCTAATTGTCTAAAACATTAATTATTTTTTTTTTCCTCTTTGGTGTTTTATAATATAAATTATAGTGAAATAAGTAGCCAAGTTATTATGCCTGCGTGGTTTTGCAGTAATAGATATGATTAATACATATTAATCACCAGAATATTTTTTACAGTTCGGTAAACTTGGTTCTTTCTATCAAGGAGCGCCAGCACGTCATGCCTGTACCAGGTGACCACAGTCCCCAAGTGTTGCGTTGGTACGACGTTCGTGACGTTGATCTGGGCGAAGGTCTTTAATAGTGTGACCAATGGATAGGAGGGAGGGAATTATCAGGGGAAAGGGCCAAGCCACTACGACTATATTGCACTGGGAAAGGGTCAGGATAAGGATTTGGAATGGGACGAGGGGGAGGAATGGTGCCCAATCACTTGGACGGTCGGATTGAACGCCGACTTGCATGAAGCGAGACCGTCGCTCTACCGTCCGGCCCCAAGTGGTTGGGAAACAATATTGAGGCATTACAATGGGATCGAACCCACTTCCTTCGACTCCCAGGCACAAGAAGTATGGTTCAGTAGTTAGTACAGGCGCCTCGGTCGTCAAGGGATGCGGATTCGAGTCCATTTTAGCACCCCGATAATCTTCCCCTTAGATCTTCGGAGTTCCTAAATGTATACAATTCTGACCAATTTCCAATGGTGTACAAGCAGTCTTGGGAGCTAGATGATGCTGTGACAGATGGCGTAGATGTAGTTATTGTTATTACAGCTGTGGTAGAAGTAGTCGGGGGCTGCGAGGCAGGCGTAGTTCTCGTCGTATTCTCCGTCAGGCTGGCCCGGGTACCAGTGAGGGACCCCCATCTCCATCTCCTCCCCGTTCACCCACTTCCAGCTGCAGTGTGTTAGTCACAAGATCAAGACACAGTGTAGTGACGAAGATAAATATAAGGATGTGGACATACAAGACAAAGCTGTGTCCTTTGAGATAAGGAATGATATTGGTGCTGGGAGGTGGTGGAGGATGGTGGTGGTTGAAGGGGGAAGTAGTGGTGATTAAGGATGGGTGGGGGTGGTGGAGGATGGTGGTTGGGGACACTATACCTGTACTCATTCCTGTAGTCATCACTTCACCCGGTTATCAATAACCCACAACCCTTGTGCGTCTCTCACATATTAAGGAAAACAGAGTCTGGCAAACTAAGATTTCAGTTTGAGACATTAATATCATTACACAGAGATCACATTAACGTGATGCATCAAATGAACAAATCCACAAGGGCCGTGACGAGGATTCGAACTTGCGTCCAGGAGCATCCCAGACACTGCCTTAATCAACTGAGCTACGACAGGGTTAAAAATAGTTGAAACCGAAGTTCTACTGAACTTACTGGATCCCGTAGCCATACATACATTAATATCATGTTACCTGATCTCCCGGAGCACTCAGGAGCGCCTTACTTACATTCCTTCGTGGCCGGCGTCACTTCCTCCGATCCAGAAATTTTCACCCTTAAGATCTGGCAACAAAAAGTGATTTGGCTATGAAATCTATTTTTAGATTAATAATATTAAATATTAAAATACAAACAAACTTAAATTTTAACCTCGAATGGAAATGATTTTGAGTGTTGCCGCCGAAGGTGGCTAGTTTATTGTGCACCCCATACTCATCCTGTGAGCGCTAGTTTATTGTGCACCCCATACTCATCCTGTGAGTGGTAGTTTATTGTGCACCCCATACTCATCCTGTGAGCGGTAGTTTATTGTGCACCCCATACTCATCCTGTGAGTGGTAGTTTATTGTGCACCCCATACTCATCCTGTGAGCGGTAGTTTATTGTGCACCCCATACTCATCCTGTGAGCGGTAGTTTATTGTGCACCCCATACTCATCCTGTGAGCGGTAGTTTATTGTGCACCCCATACTCATCCTGTGAGCGGTAGTTTATTGTGCACCCCATACTCATCCTGTGAGCGGTAGTTTATTGTGCACCCCATACTCATCCTGTGAGCGGTAGTTTATTGTGCACCCCATACTCATCCTGTGAGCGGTAGTTTATTGTGCACCCCATACTCATCCTGTGAGCGGTAGTTTATTGTGCACCCCATACTCATCCTGTGAGCGCTAGTTTATTGTGCACCCCATACTCATCCTGTGAGCGGTAGTTTATTGTGCACCCCATACTCATCCTGTGAGCGGTAGCGCAAAAGCATTACAGAGGGCACAAAAGGTCTTTATCAGACCTCATCTTAGATTATTACATAAACAATTTCATCTATCCTTCACACCTTATAGTTACAATGTCAGCTAGTTACAGAGAAAGTGCTATTACAAGAGCTACATATTTACAGTAAGTCATCATACATTAATGGTAGGTCTTATCGCTAATACATAATAGTTTGACCAATGGGGATATTACAGTCATAGGGGAGCTTCTGTTTATTATTAGTCCTCACAATACACTACTTGTTTCTGAATCTCATATGTCGTTCATCTACTGGAAGCAAAATGTGGGTACAGTGCAAGAATTTCAGGTAATTTATCCATGGTAATAAGATAGGTTGCCATATCATACAGAGTGAGCTTAGATTTATCCCTAAAAGGCTCAATTTTACTACAATCCAGGATATAGTGTTCGAGTGTGTGTCCCTGTCTTTGTCCACACACTTTACACTACTTCATCTAGATCCCTATACAAGCCGAACTGCCAGATACTCGAAAGGAAATAAGGTCAATGTTTAGATTCCAGAAGTTCTACTGGGCGCTTTAGTAATGTCTTCCTCATCACCGTAAGTCCTGTGTAAGGCTCGCTAGTTTTCTAATTCATGTTGGTTTCCTTTTTGTATTGTGACACTATATTTGCTGCCCTTCCAAATTTTGTGATGTTTCCATGGACATTCCCTCGTTATCAGCGTATTGTGTCCGGTCCAGTGTCGTGTGTGTGTGTGTGTGTGTACTCACCTAGTTGTACTCACCTAGTTGTGTTTGCGGGGGTTGAGCTCTGGCTCTTTGGTCCCGCCTCTCAACCGTCAATCAACAGGTGTACAGATTCCTGAGCCTATCGGGCTCTGTCATATCTACACTTGAAACTGTGTATGGAGTCAGCCTCCACCACATCACCCCGTGTGTGTGTGTGTGTGTGTGTGTGTGTGTGTGTGTGTGTATGTGTGTGTATGTATGTGTGTATGTATGTATGTGTATAGTCATAAACACGTCACGTATCAAGCATTCGTAGCTCATTATACATCCTGTGTGACTAGAGGAGCGGTGAAGGGTCTCACCTGCGTGCTGTATGATGTACTCGTAGACCCGGTGGTGCAGGTCACAGTTTAGCTGTAGCTGGGCCAGGTCACCGTTTGGCATAGCCTGGCACATGGCTCTCAGGCTGTCATACGTGCCCTTCGCGTAGGTGACGAACTTCAAGCACAAGAGCGTCGCCGAATCCGTGCTGAAGTTGATGTACCCGTCAGGACACCCGGCTGACGGAGAGAAGCCACGAGTGATCAACCACAACTTGATAAATGAACTGTAATTGAAATGCAGCATTTCCTACTCGCATTTAACACGTTAATTACCTATAATGTAACTACACATTAATGCCTCTATACTTAAATATAAACCTAAGTTTAAGGCATCGATAAATGTTTACACTTAACAAGAGCCTCGCAGCCTTCATCATCTGGCGATCTCGTGCACCATTAATGTATTGGGCTGGATAAAAGTATTAATATACGGGGTTGGATAAACATTATCCACCATTCAGTGTTCCTGGTCAGGGAAATACCTGTTAACAACTTTGTTTTAGTACCTCACTCTTAATTAAGGCGCTAGAGGTCACCGGCGTTGCTCGGGTGACATGCATAATATCTCTCACTATAATCCCATACCTCATCACTGTAACCGTCTACATGGGCTCCGCACGGGTCCCTATCTACAAAACTTCCCTCTCCACCACGCACGGCCATCGAAAAATACAGTTGCATACAACAAACATATAATCACGTAGAATATAATGTGCGTGATGAATCTCAGTAAGGATGGAAACTGTTTAAACCAGTTTCCAACCTACCTCTATAAATTAAGGCATTAGGGTCAAAGATCCCGTCCCGCCTATGACCTCCCCGGACAAAGACCAGTCATCCTGCATAGTTTGGAGAGGCTAGTCCCAAGCGTCTGTCCCCGCCACCTTGACTATATAAACATTCTTTTTATAAAATACTAGAGGGTACCCGGCTGCGCCCGAGGTCTCTTCCCTCTCTCCCTCTTATCGCCCTTTCTCTCCACCTTTCTCCTTCCCTCTCTTCAAACATCTTTCCTTCCCCCCACTCCCCTCCCCCTTATCTCTTTGAAAAAGTTATAACGAAGCTCTGAAACTGAAGTTTACGAACAACACTGCTAATATTTCAGACCATGAAAATGGCACCGAGGCGTTGGGTTGGATGCCGATATTTCTTAGTGTGGCAATGGAGCCTTTGACCCTACCCCGACTGGCCTATGACACTCCCTTGCCCCGCATGTTTCATGTTTGAAAGTTAGTCCAGACTAACCCCCAAGCGCCTGGCCTCCAACCTTGACAACGCACAGACATTCCCTCCTTTAGAAAGATAAATGGTTAGCTACTTGACTAGGGAGGCCAGACGTCCTTTAGGAAAAAAAGTTCTACATTGAAGCCGTCCTTCATAGCGTGGCCATTATCAAATCTGCGAAGAGGACACAGCCGCTACATGTATAGTGACTTTAGTACAGATATTGCACTGTTTTGATATGAGGTATGGGATAGGTCAGCTCTCAGCCTGCTTACACGAGTCTGTTCCGGTGTCTGTCTGTCCTCACGCGAGTATGCCTTGGATGAACTTTATGAACATTTGAACAGGTAAGCTACAGACAGCTTGCTCCTAAGCGTGGATTAGGGCACATAATTATTGTACAAAAAGCCTCTTTTTACAATATTCAAACTGCTAGATCTTACCTTGACCAGAGACCTTCGCCATCAATGCAACTGAAATATGAATCGGTAAATTAGGATGCAAATAAATTTATAAATGTTACATATAAACACTTTTGGCACACTTTAATTTTGAAAGACATTTTGAGGGAATGATATATTTTAAGAGACCCTCAGTCCATGATGGTAAATTTTGGGTTTACTGAATTGTTATCGTTACTCTTAAAATTACTTTCCATCAGGGGGAGAGTTTTGACATGTAATCACTTCAAGTCTGGGTTCGTTATCTTCTACGAAAGAATTGTTCCTGTAACTTTTAAATGAGTTAAACTGAGGTGCTGCATGAAGTCTCAAGATTTAGTTAATGTAGATATGAAGAGCAAGACCGTAGGGTGGCAAAGTGGTGTGGCCACATGGAAGGAAGGGACGAGGTGGTCCCTTGTACAAAGTGTAAAGTAGTATAACAGATGAGGCGGGGAAGGCGGACTTAACCAGTGAGCAAAACGAGGTTCGTTAGCGGAGATTTTGGGTTCACTGAGCACGACTAAATCTTAACCCATTTGTTATGAAGAAATAGTTGAGTGGGAAACCTTAGACTGCCGGTCTACGACCATCGTTATGTTGTAAGTGTGAGGACGGTGGGACGATTGGTCAGGCCTCACTTGTTATATCTTTCGCCTTCCACTTATTGATCACATCTCCATCTTTGTCTATTACTTCGTCCTTCACTACTTTTCTCTCCCTCCCTCCCTCCCTCCCACTTTCATACCATCTTCCCTCTCTCCGCCCCTCCCTCCCACACTAGAGCCAATAAAACAGTGCCAGGCGGCACTGGGACACAACTGGCACCTCTCCCCCAGTACTGAACACCAACACAAGCCTGGCACTCCCACACATTCCCTGGAAAACAGAAGAGTAAGGGAAGCCACCACCTGATAACCACCTACAAAATTATCAGGTGAATTGACAGGGTGGAGAAAAAACTCTAACACTGGTGGTACGCGAACAAGGGGACACAGGTGGAAACTTAGTACCCAAATGAGCCACAGAGACATTAGATTTTTTTCAGTATCAGCGTAGTTAACAGGTGGAATGCATTTGACAGTGATGTGGTGGAGGCAGACTCCATACACAGTGATTGAGAGTCGAGAGGTGGGACCAAAGAGCCAGAGCTTAACCCCAGCAAGCACAACTAGGTGAGTACACATGACAGTCTCCTCTACCAAAGGCAAGAGCCACAATCGCTGCTCTCTTCATTGTGACGAGTGTTGCTGCTCCCACTGCTGTTATATTGCTCTTGCAGCTGCTGCTGTTGGTAGTGTTGTGATGTGGAGGTGGACTGTGAGAGACCCGGCCACACCTGCACTATATACCCGGCCTCGGCGCCCTCTGCTCCTGGCGGGAAATGCGCACTTCTTGCCCCACAATTGACCTAACTGGTAATTTAATTAGTATATATAATAAGTACCTTTCCCCCAAAAAATCCCGAATTTAAACAAAAGCAGGAGAATTCCATTATCTCGTTATATGCTAAGTAGCATAAATAATTAACATATGGAGAATAAGAAACCAATCAATAGCTAATTGAGTGTTCAATGATTATTTGATAAGATCGATTCATTATGGTATTATTTTCGTGATAATTTGTTCCTTGGAAAGGCCGGATATTGGTAATATCAAACACGCTCCTGAGCATTTAACATTTTAAAAACTTATCTAAATAATAATATTTAGCTATATAAATATCCTAATAAACAAAATAGTGTATAAATGGAATAGGGTTGGAATAATCAGTTACAGATAACGTTACTGATTACACTACATATTTACAATTAGACTGAGGCTTTAGCTAATTACACAAAAAATGTATTGTGTAGGACCTGATAGCTGAGTGGACAGCGCTCGGGGTTCGTAATTCTGAGGTACTAACACCGGGTTCGATCCCCGGTGGATGCGGAAACAAATGGGCAGAATATCTTTCACCCTGATGCACCTGTTCACCTAGCAGTAAATAGGTACCTGGGAGTTAGACAGTTGCTACGGGCTGCCTCCTGGGGGTGTGTAACATAAAGGAGGCCTGGTCGAGGACCAGGCCGCGGGGACGTTGAGCCCCGAAATCATCGCAAAGTAACCTGCCCACATTGTAGTCTAAACTGGAAGTACACATGGAGGATACGTTGCTATAGTGGTTACTGAAGCCGGGTATACATAGTATACCTCTAAATTCTGGTATACTATGCTCTTCGAGGGTGTGTATACACTTGTATCCTCAAGTGTAGTGGTCTAGGACGCTGTCTTGGGAGTGCCCAAGTAAGCGGGTTCGAATCCCTCGTCACAGCTCCTACTGGTGCTCACATTTCTACACCACGTTAATATGACACCATTTGTGCATTGTGTCCTCAACTTTGATACATTTTTGTCTTCGTATATGTCGTTCCTGGTTGAATATTTCGGTTATAATGAAACATTTGAGAACGAACAAATGGGGAAAGTATATACGATAGAAGGATATAACTGAGGGACAGTCGAGGTGGATTGGTGGGGGGGGGGTGAGTACCTGGGGGGTAAGTACCCGTGGGGGGGGGGGTGAGTACCTGTGTGGGGGGGTGTGAGTACCTGGGGGGTAAGTACCCGTGGGGGGGGGTGAGTGCCTGTGGGGGGGGGGGTGTGAGTACCTGTGGGAGGGGGTGAGTGCCTGTGGGGGTGTGTGAGTACCTGTGGGGGGGGAGTGAGTACCTGTGGGGGAAGGGATGAGTGCCTGTGGGAGGACACACCTGCAGCAGCTGGTGGCTCCCTCACACAGCGTCACCGGTCGTTGTGATAACTCCGGCTACCCTCAAATTAAACTCGAGAAGCTGCAGCTACAACAGCTATAACAGCAACTACAGCAGCAGCTACAACAGCAGCTACAACAGCAGCTACAACAGCTATAACAGCAACTACAGCAGCAGCAGCTGCCGCGTTAGGTTCTAATTATTTTCAAACGTATATATCAAATTTGCTACATAAATCAATTTGGTAACAAGGGTAGGGGGGGGGGAGGGGGTAGAAGAATGTCATTATTACGTTCATGGTTTGAAGACATTCAAAATTATACTGGAGGCCGTAGCAGAGAAAACTGTCCCTTGTGCCTGTACTTTGTACACACGGACAAAATACGAGGTGCTAACCTACCCAGAAACGCACGAACCCAAGCCACCCACCTAACCTTTCCTTACCGTTGGATAGAAAACGGATTTTTGGAGAGCCGCAACACGTTGTAATTTGAACGTTTGGGACCATAGCGCTCAAAGTGCGGCGTTGAGCGCAGTGTCACCTGTGGTTAGTCCAAAGGAACTCTCAGGGGAAAGCATTAAGCCATTGCCACTATATAGCACTGGGAAGGGATCAGGATATGGGATGGGACGGGGGGAAAGGAATGGTGCCTAACCACTTGGACGGTCGGGGATTGAACGGCGACCTGCATGAAGCGAGACCGTCGCTCTACCGTCCACCTCAAGTGGTTGGGTAGCTGTGGTGGGGACGGAGAGCGCTCTGTTAGCACACTTTCCACACTACCTACTGACCAACGACTAAATGAATGTCCTTCTAAATTGTTTACGTCTTGTCATCATATTTGTTTAGACTGATATTGGAAGACATTTGATTCCAGTTTTATTAAGTTAAAATTTATAAAACTTTAATTGAATTGTACAATTTTGAGAAGAACTTAAGAGGTATTGTAGGACTAACTTGGCCACACATGACGTGTGGCCACACATGACGTGTGGCCACACATGACGTGTGGCCACACATGACGTGTGGCCACACATGACTTGTGGCCACACATGACTTGTGGCCACACAGTGGTGCTAGAGTCACATGTACACAATCACAGTATACTTCAACCATCAGGATACACATGGCGGCAAATATTGGGCTGGAAATAATGGTGGTTGATCAAGTCACCAGCTGCCATTATAGACGAGATAGAGCTAGATTGTTTCAAGCGTAGGTTGAACACACACACATGAATGAGTTTGGGTGGATGTAAGTAGGTGCTGCCATGTAAGAGCCAGTTAGGTCTTCTGCAAATTTCATTTATGTTGTTATTCATATGTGAGGTTCAGTGCTTGCAACATATCTTGTATAGTTCAGCATCCGTCTTGGAGTGGGAGTCACTCAGGATTGTGGGTTTCTATTTTGCAGGTGAAGTAAGACGCCTGCAAAACACCTGTTTTGCAGGTGTGTGGCCGGGGGCGGCGAGTCACGTCTTGAAGGCTGGGGCCCTGTCTCCAGGATGACGCCTGGGGCGTGGCTCAGAGATACGCCCTTTATTCTCGACTTCTTTCACAGAATGGCCTCCAGCCCTTAAGTGTAGGTAAGTGACTGTCGCAGTACTCCTCCGGCACTACAGTCAGACATGTACACAGACAATGGGAAAAGAAATAAATAACATGCCGAAGAAACCTTTAATTGCCGTTGTCGGGGAGAGGCAGGCTGTGTGTACGTACTGTAGGCTTGTACCGACGTCTCTAAGGTCGACCTGCTGACCGTCGCCAGGATGTAACCCAACAAGAGTTGCCTAACTCCCGTGTACCTACTTACTGCTAAGTGAACAGAGAACAGAAGCATCAGGTGTAAGGAAACGTCTCGCACTGTCAGAGATTCGACCTCGGGTCGTGTTGGTTGTGTGCCGACTGCGCTAATCACAAGAAGACTGGGTGAAGAGCATCTCTCTGGAGTACATCTCACACCCCCCTCCTCGGGGGTCATGTTATGTGGAGTGTGTTGAGCCTCGGGGCTCCTCGGGGCCCTCAACCCGGGCTCTCGAGCAATAGGTCGCGTTTTGAACGTTATGGTAACCAACATAAGAAATATAACCTATGCAAAGTAGCGGCTCGCACATATTCACGTTTTCTATGCATCGGCTCGACATGTTAGGTAGGTTGCTTGGGTTCATGTTTCTGGACGTTGCATTTATAACGGAGCGGCAAATCTAGAGAACGAGCTGCAGCGTGACCGCTGCTGAGGCAGCACCAGTTTATCACAACTCTGACTACTTAAGACCTGAATATACTAGTGAATAATTTGGTGGTAAATGAACGATATTTTAAATGTGAATGAAATGTTGGTATAACTCTTGGCGTTGAAGAGCAGCCTTGATGACTTCCGAGCAGATGTTGGACTGGTGAGGACTGTGACGAGCATCAGGTACTTGTCAGAGCTTCAGACGAACACACACGTGGCCGTGGGGGTGAGTGAGGGCCTCGTCCAGCACCCCCGAGGTGACCATCTGAGGAGCCTCGTTCCTCCAGGTACCACCGGTGGCCCTCAGCCTGATGCTGCGTAGTCTTCCGTCTCTAGATAAGACTCCTGGTTTCTCCAGGAGCTATAGTATCGCAGGTTTTTATGAGAGAACCTATTTTAATACAGAGTTTATCAGGTCTTCTCATGTGTTCAGGGAAGACATTTGAGGTAGCTGCACCATGTGTACAGGTACAGCAAGGTACAGGATTTATAAGATGTACAGTTTGCTCTCCTGCAACTCCGGCAAGAATGTATTAGTGTGTGTGAGTGACGCCGGGTGTGTGATAAATGATTTATTTCACTCTTTGTGCTCTGGGCCGGATTTTTTTAACCAAGTCTTGTGGAAATGTTGCATTAATTTGCATGAAGTATTTTAAGTTAATTGACATTTCCCACGTTTATGATATTAAGTCTGCAAAAAAAAAAAGTGATTCTGGATTTGGTATATCTCCCAGGAGACGCCACCTGTCCCTTCCCGATAATCTAATTTATTGCCGACCTATATCATATAGCATGAGAATAGACATATATACACGCCATAAGAATAAAGGTAAAAAAAATGGCTTGGCACAGATACATGGTATAATATTATTGGACAACAAAACGTACGAAGTGATCACTTCGTACGACCGTTCGTACATCGTTCTTAGTACGTTTGAACAACCTTAGCTTAAAACTGTCCAGGTGGCTTCTCTGGTGCTACTTGGTACCTTGTTCCACCTATCTAATTCCATACCAGTGTTTACCAATATATTTTCTAAATCTAAGTTTGTTTTACAATTCTCACATATTTGTACTGTCTGACTTTGGGGAGCGCTTTTGTTCCTTTCACCACAACGTAAATTTAGATTTTTCAGTTTTTAAGGAAGATTCCTAATACCGCATTTTCTACTCATCAGTTTATATACAGTATTCCTTAAGTTGTTTGGAATATAATACATTTTTTATTGTCATGAGCCGCAGTTGGTAATCCCTCGGCCAAGAGTTATATCTGGCAGAGGGCGTAGATGAGGAGGTTATTGTTGCAGCTGTGGTAGTAGTAGTCTGGAGGGTAGATGCAGGCGTAGTTGGCCTTGGTCCCCCCGTCCGGCTGGCCTGGGTACCAGTGGGGAGGCCCCAGCACCAGCACCGTCCCGTCACTAACCCAAGTCCAACTGCTCAACGTCCAATTCGGAAGCGTGAAACAAAGAGTAGTCAGAAGTTTTATTTAAAAATATATATTTTTTGGTAAGAGAAGTTATGCTACTGTAAGAGAGGAGGAGGAGGAGGAGGTTGAAAGTTACGACATTTTGTACAGACAAATGACCAGATTATACCCGTCTCTAAATGTGACCCTCAACATACTCCTGAGGTCGTACTCCAGTCTTCTCTCTCCTCCAACTTTCCCTCAATTGTAGCATTGTATAATTGGGTTGTAACCTTGTTATAATATTACACTATGGCACTATTTTTATTAATAAGTAGGTTGTGTTTAAGCTGCGGGGTCCTGCTCGATGGCTCTCCCAATGTATTTAATTCATCTTCTATCCAGAGTGAGAGTTAGCTAACCAGTGCTTAGCGATTAGTGTAATCGTTTGAGGTAATTACCAGGCTAAGCCGCCAGGACAGTGGGACTAGGTACCACCTGCAAGGTTCACGAGGACGGAGTAAAGGGATCAAGGTTTTATCATTTCAATTGCGGGATTGATGCTCAGTCCAGTACCTGGCCAGCTTAACCTCACTGAATGTTGTTGTATTGTTCACTAAGGTTGGATTTTAGCTCCCAGCCTACCTATGATGTCATCGCCTGGAGCAGGGGAGGGGGTAAGAAAATGGCAGACAGAGAAATATTAAATAAAATTATGTTCTTGGAGTAAATTTGTACCAATATTAGATTGGGAACATGTTGTCTGATTTTTACATGTTTGGACGATTGTGTGTGTGTGTGTGTGTGTGTGTGTGTGTGTGTGTGTGTGTGTGTGTGTGTACATGTTGCTTACCAATCTAGAACGCCAAGTTGGACGTTACTTACGTTCCCTCGCTGCCTGAATCAGTTCCTCCCATCCAGAAACCTTTGTCAGCGAGTTCTGAAATAAGTTATATATATATCAAAGTTGTTAATGATGTTGAACAAACTATAAGCACAATACTGTAACCATTTAACAGACTGCCACTGTACCGTACAGTGAGCTCTGGCCGTGCATTATACAGTAGCTGTGCAACGGGATGAGCAACTGATGAGCTCACCCAGGTGCTGCATGATGTATTGGTACACCTGAAGGTGGAGGTCGCCTCTCAGCTCGGCCAGGTCGGCTCCCTCAGCCCGACACAAGGCCCTCATGGCCGCCCACGACCCCGTCTCCTCCGTGTTGAACCTTATACACACGGGCGTCGCAGAGTCCAAAAGGAAATTTTCGTAGCCGGATGGACACGGGTTACCTGGAAAGGAATGCAAAGTGAACTAAGTGGCGTGGGGAGGTGTTGACGAGGGTACAACAGCCTGGTAAAGCCAAGTTGTACTGGAGATACCTCGCATGAAAATAATTTCAGGGTACACCAGCTAAAGGGTCATAAAGGATGCGACCGGGTCCCTGAACACGCATCTAGCCGCGTACGGTAGGTGCATCTAGCCGCGTACGGTAGGTGCATCTAGCCGCGTACGGTAGGTGCATCTAGCCGCGTACGGTAGGTGCCTCTAGCCGCGTACGGTAGGTGCCTCTAGCCGCGTACGGTAGGTGCCTCTAGCCGCGTACGGTAGGTGCCTCTAGCCGCGTACGGTAGGTGCCTCTAGCCGCGTACGGTAGGTGCCTCTAGCCGCGTGCGGTAGGTGCATCTAGCCGCGTGCGGTAGGTGCCTCTAGCCGCGTGCGGTAGGTGCATCTAGCCGCGTGCGGTAGGTGCATCTAGCCGCGTGCGGTAGGTGCATCTAGCCGCGTGCGGTAGGTGCCTCTAGCCGCGTGCGGTAGGTGCATCTAGCCGCGTGCGGTAGGTGCATCTAGCCGCGTGCGGTAGGTGCATCTAGCCGCGTGCGGTAGGTGCATCTAGCCGCGTGCGGTAGGTGCATCTAGCCGCGTGCGGTAGGTGCATCTAGCCGCGTGCGGTAGGTGCATCTAGCCGCGTGCGGTAGGTGCATCTAGCCGCGTGCGGTAGGTGCATCTAGCCGCGTGCGGTAGGTGCATCTAGCCGCGTGCGGTAGGTGCATCTAGCCGCGTGCGGTAGGTGCATCTAGCCGCGTGCGGTAGGTGCATCTAGCCGTGCACGGTACGGGCAGAGAAAGTACACTTCACCTCTGGAACTTGAACGCTGTGGGAAGTAATGAACCACACGTGCCTAGGTATTACACACATTTCCCCACAGTCCAAGTTGCAGACACACGAGCACAGGACTCCTCCTAGCCGCACACGGCTCACATCAAGACAATATCATCTAATATAATATTTCAAGTGTGTCTTGGCTGTAGGGACGAGTCGTAGGGTTTGGTATTTGAAAAAGAAAACAAATAACAAAAGTTTAAGAGTCTTCAAGAGGGCACGAGTGTTTTATCACAAGAAAAAACTGTCTTCAAGCAAGGACTTGTCAAGGGTGGGGGTCAGCAGGGGTGATGGGGCTCCTTCCTCGCTCACGCCTCGGCAATGGTCATTTACTGCTCGGGTTCAAACATCAAAGGAAACTCTTTGGTCTCAAGGATGCTTGAAGGTTATTTGAGAAATGTATATTTCTGGCTGTGAATGACATGGAAAAATAGGCGAACTGAGCGCTAAGGACACAGGTGGTGGACACACAGGCAGGAGGACACAGGTGGTGGACACACAGCCAGGAGGACACAGGTGGTGGTGGTGGACACAGGTGGTGGACACACAGGCAGGAGGACACAGGTGGTGGTGGAGGACACAGGTGGTGGACACACAGGCAGGAGGACACAGGTGGTGGACACACAGGCAGGAGGAGACAGGTGGTGGACACAGGTGTTGGACACACAGGCAGGAGGACACAGGTGGTGGTGGAGGACACAGGCAGGAGGACACAGGTGGTGGACACAGGCAGGAGGACACAGGCGGTGGACACACAGGCAGGAGGACACAGGTGGTTGACACACAGGCAGGAGGACACAGGTGGTTGACACACAGGCAGGAGGACACAGGTGGTTGACACACAGGCAGGAGGACACAGGTGGTGGACACACAGGCAGGAGGACACAGGTGGTGGACACACAGGCAGGAGGACACAGGTGGTGGACACACAGGCAGGAGGACACAGGTGGTGGACACACAGGCAGGAGGACACAGGTGGTGGACACACAGGCAGGAGGACACAGGTGGTGGTGGAGGACACAGGCAGGAGGACACAGGTGGTGGTGGAGGACACAGGTGGTGGACACACAGGCAGGAGGACACAGGTGGTGGACACAGGTGTTGGACACACAGGCAGGAGGACACAGGTGGTGGTGGAGGACACAGGTGGTGGACACACAGGCAGGAGGACACAGGTGGTGGTGGTGGACACAGGTGGTGGTGGAGGACACAGGCAGGAGGACACAGGTGGTGGACACACAGGCAGGAGGACACAGGTGGTGGACACACAGGCAGGAGGACACAGGTGGTGGTGGTGGACACAGGTGGTGGTGGAGGACACAGGCAGGAGGACACAGGTGGTGGACACACAGGCAGGAGGACACAGGTGGTGGTGGAGGACACAGGCAGGAGGACACAGGTGGTGGTGGAGGACACAGGTGGTGGTGGTGGACACAGGTGGTGGTGGAGGACACAGGCAGGAGGACACAGGTGGTGGACACACAGGCAGGAGGACACAGGTGGTGGTGGAGGACACAGGTGGTGGACACACAGGCAGGAGGACACAGGTGGTGGTGGAGGACACAGGTGGTGGTGGAGGACACAGGTGGTGGACACACAGGCAGGAGGACACAGGTGGTGGTGGAGGACACAGGCAGGAGTACACAAGATAAGAGAGATTGTGTTAATTATCATGTCGCTCTGTTTATTTACGTTTTTTTCTCTCTTAACATTTTCCGTGTGTTTAAGGTGGTGTGAGAACTTGTTGGCACCGATATCTCTGGTCTCCCCCTCCCTGGCATTTATTCTGGCTGTCTAACTACCAGATAACTATTTACTGCTAGGTGAACAGGTGCATCAGGGTGAAAAACTCTGCCTATTTGTTTCTGCGGGAATCGAACCCGGTTCCTTAGGACTACGACCCCAGAGTGCTGTGAACTCAGCCGCGAGGCCCCTGAGTGGATTTTGTGTGTGTGTGTGTGTGTGTGTAAATATAATTTTCCCCTATTAAAGAAAGTGGGGTTGTTTGATATGTAAGTCACTCTTCACTACACAATTAATAGTGTTGTTAGCGTGATGGTGAGCTCGTATCATCACACTTCACTATAGTGATATTAACACATGAGAATGACATTAAACCAGGCCGTCTTACCTTGACCGGTCACTACTGCCAACGCCGCTGGAATAACAGTTGAATGCGTCAATTTGCGTATATATATATTAATATATATTTAATATATAATACATATAAATAGTGTATTTATGCACAAACACTTTTGATGCCGTTATATGTAAGGATTTAATGTATAGTAATCAATCCTATCGACAGCTCCAATATTGTTGATGCCTTTTTATCAAAGAGGAAAGCAAATAATACATTATTTTCACTAGTTGTTTATTGATATATCGGAACAGTGTCGTAATTTACCTCCGTACACGCTCATACCTCCTGTCTACTCTCCACAGCTCCCCCCCCCCTCCCTCCCCCTCACAGTAGAGCCAGACAAGAGGTAATAAAGAGTGCCAGGCGGCACTAGGACACACCTGACACTTCTCCCCCAGTACTGAACACCAACACAAGCCTGCCGCTCCACACCTGACACTTCTCCCCCAGTACTGAACACCAACACAAGCCTGCCGCTCCACACCTGACACTTCTCCCCCAGTACTGAACACCAACACAAGCCTGCCGCTCCACACCTGACACTTCTCCCCCAGTACTGAACACCAACACAAGCCTGCCGCTCCACACCTGACACTTCTCCCCTAGTACTGAACACCAACACAAGCCTGCCGCTCCACACATGACAGTTAACGAGTCTCCTCTACCAAAGGCAACAGCCACAGTCGCTGCTCTCTTCATGACGAGTGTTGCTGCTGTTACTGCTGTTGCTGCTGTGATGGTACAGTTGGTGCTGCAGGGTTGTGGGCTGGTGGTACAGACTGGGAGGGAGCCTAGACCGTCTAGGTTATATAGGAGGGACGTGGTGCAGCGGCCGGGGGCTGGGTGTGGCGTAGGGCCAAGAGAAGTGGGTCGACTCGTACCCTGCTCTTATCACCTCGCATTCTCCCTCCCCTGTGTGTGTGTGTGTGTGTGTGTGTGTGTGTGTGTGTGTGTGTGTGTGTGTGTGTGTGTGTGTGTGTGTGTGTGTGTGTGTGTGTACTTGTCTAATTGTGCTTCGGCTCTTTGGTCCCGCCTCTCCACTGTCAACCAACTAATTGCCCAGTTTATGAAGGCTACCCGTATGTTGTCCAATTTGGCATGTGGGCGCAGACGAAATTTTTATTGAATTTAATAAAATATTATAAAATTAAATATAATATAAATTGTAATTCAAACTTTTAATACAATTCATATGATAGTATATGTATGAATTATATTAGAATTCATATGTATCTCTGGCTTTAGAATTTGGATTATGGCTACTCCCAAGTCTTTCAACATTTCTGGAGCAGGAAGTGTTCCGTTGGACGCACTACGTCACAATAACGTTGCTGACGTTGCAAACACAACTCTACACATCAGGAAATAAAGGCAGCGTCATCACTCCAATATTTACACATGTGTGGGCGGCCTGTGTCTTCCCAATAGTCCATATTTCTGTACAGGTCTTCTCTCTTCCTGTTTGTATCTTCATAACTTGGCTTTTGGCCGGTCGCGTTTGGTCTACTTGGCATTTTTTGAGAGTCTAATATGTCTCTTGTCCTGTTTCTGGGTACCACAGACACCCTCTTCCCCCCCCCCCCCCCCGCTTCCTCTCTGGTCCTTCTCGGTGGCTTTCCATCACCAGCAAACATTGATGGAAGAAGGCCATTTCTGTCAAGTCGTTGACAAATAAACAAGAAAGTGTGGCGGTAGTTCCGACTCTTACGGTACTCCTTTTGTTACCCCCGTCTACTCTGATGTTATATACACAGCCGGGTACAGGAGCACACCACTTGTGATCCCTGGGGGGGGGGGGAGAGAGAGAGAGAGAGAGAGAGAGAGAGAGAGAGAGAGAGAGAGAGAGAGAGAGAGAGATCCCTGAGAGCTTTCATCCTTTCCTTAGCCATTTGTTTTTCCTGGAACACGACCCGCCAATAAGTTATCAACCAGGTACCCAATTACTGCTTGTCGAATAATGGGCGATTAGTTATGGATTGGCGCCCAGTCGAACCTCCCTGGGCAGGACACTCGAGACGCGGGGCTCATGTTACCACTTCGCCACCGCGTCTTAGCGAAAAAATCGTATAGATTTTCTTATCTTGGACAGACAGACGAGAGTACCTTCCAGTGTTTGTGGATAATCCCAGATCGAAAGCAGTTGTCCACTTGAAGTATTTGGTTCTTTAAAGTCAGCGTTCGCTCCCCGATGGTTCTAGTTGGGCACCGTTCCTTCACTCCATCTTCTTATCCCAACTTGAATTCCTTCCTTATGCTATAGTCAGACCAAGTACTTCCTGAGAAGTACTACCTGGAGCATACCTGGAGATGGTTTCGGGAGTTCTTCTACTCCCCGAGCTCTGCCTGGGAGCAAAGGCTCGACTTCTGATAACTTGGGCCAACAGGCCGTTGCTTGGAGCTGCCCGCAGGCCCACATGATCACTACAGCCTGGCTGGTCCGGCACGTCTTGCAGGAATTTGTCTAAATATTTCTTGAAGATATCCACCTTTGTTCCGGCAATATTTCTAATGCTTGATTAATCCTTCATCTAATCCCTTTCACATCCCTCTTCCACTTCACCCTCCTGATGCCTCGGACTGTTCCCTAGCTTAAGGAAATCTCTTGAGCGATGCAACATGTTTCTTGATAATGTTGTAACATGCTCTCTCTCTCTTCTTTGATTTGTCATCTTGTTATATGACCCACCGTTTCTTACATTCTTCATTATCCTCTCGAAAAAAAACCTTTGTTGATGATTTGTCATCTTTGTCACTGCAACACAGCAGTTGCAGTCAAAAGTCGTTTCTCTCGTTAAGCATTTTCCTTCGCTAAATCCGCGCTAGTGTTTGCTATCAAAGTTTAGTTATTATAAGTGTTGTACGATCTTGTGTTTACCAGTGTCTCAAGTGTGTTGCAGAGGGGGGGGGCTTGCTAGTGTGTGTTGCCCTGTGGTTCTTGTCCTCCTCCTAGTTATTGTCCTTGTTTCTTCCTCGTGGTTCAGTAGACCTACAGTCTTGATTTCTTCTTAAGAACATAAGAGTAAATGAAACTGCAGAAGGCTTATTGTCCCACACGAGGACGCATCAGGTAAAGTTCATTGTATTGGGGAACAGTCAGCCTGTTATTACATACAGTACATGTTAGGCTTTTATCGAGAATTGGATACTCGATATAAAGCCTTTATATTGAAGGTCTTCGTATGTGGGCGAGGACGTTGTGTAGGTCTTGACTGAGGGAAGCTTAGTGGTCTTCATGGCCTCAGTTCATGCTGGACTCCTGTCACCACAAGAACATGTGGCATCCAGATCATGTAGATATCATTACTCCCTTCGCCTCCAGAAAAGACCACATTCCCTATCACCATTATGCAGCTCCATTTGTCGTGTGTGTGTGTGTGTGTGTGTGTGTGTGTGTGTGTGTGTGTGTGTGTGTGTGTGTGTGTGTGTGTGTGTGTGTACCACCGTCACTATGGACAGTAGCGACCTCTAGGCTAGCTGTCCATGCCTCGTTAATTGTCGCAACGTTCAGTCCTCTAAATCGGTTGCTTGACATTACTTCACCAGAAACAGTGGTCAAGAGGCCGGGTGTGACCACGGCGCCAGGCGGGTCACTGTGATCAACAGTCACGAGACGCCACCTTCCCTTGACACAGGCACGCGCGCGCGTGCGCACCGCCTCTGGTTAATATGCGAGGTCCCTTAGCCTCCGAAAAGAGAATAAATGACATCCTAGGGAGCAATTGTGTACCCTGCGTATGCACCTGGATATTATATACATAGAATACATATAAACACACCACAAAGACACTGTAGAGTCTGAGCAGAGGCTCGGGTCTGGCGAGGAAGGTGAGCAAGGAATACGGGCACCAAGGTCAGGCTATTACAGCCGACGGTCAACAAGCCAATTACCCGATTAAGGCTATTATCGGAGTGCGGCCCCAAGACGTCACGCTTAAGGTGGTGACCTTAATGTTGCAAGGAACGACGCCGTGTTGACACAGCGCTGTTAAGGGATTAAAAGGGCACATTTCCAGATATAGTAGTGTAAGGGAGGTAACACTTGCCCCGGCCAGGCACCGGGCCGGGGGCATATTGATCCCCGGAACCACCTCAGGGTGATGTGATTTATCTGAGGGCCACTAACACTAGTGGCCTCGACGAGGACACCAAGCCGGCGGCTTGTCAGATCTCAAGGTAATACCATACGAACAGACAAACCATAGGCTTAAATTATAAAGTGTGTATTTCACTAAAATAGTAATGTAGGTCGAGGCAGCCTGGGCAGGTCGAGGCAGACTGGACAGGTCGAGGCAGGCTGGACAGGTCGAGGCAGGCTGGACAGGTCGAGGCAGGCTGGACAGGTCGAGGCAGGCTGGACAGGTCGAGGCAGGCTGGACAGGTCGAGGCAGGCTGGACAGGTCGAGGCAGGCTGGACAGGTCGAGGCAGGCTGGACAGGTCGAGGCAGGCTAGACAAGTCGAGGCAGGCTGGGCAGGTCGAGGCAGGCTGGACAGGTCGAGGCAGGCTGGACAGGTCGAGGCAGGATGGACAGGTCGAGGCAGGATGGGCAGGTCGAGGCAGGCTGGACAGGTCGAGGCAGGCTGGACAGGTCGAGGCAGGCTGGACAGGTCGAGGCAGGCTGGACAGGTCGAGGCAGGCTGGACAGGTCGAGGCAGGCTGGACAGGTCGAGGCAGACTGGACAGGTCGAGGCAGGCTGGACAGGTCGAGGCAGACTGGACAGGTCGAGGCAGACTGGACAGGTCGAGGCAGGCTGGGCAGGTCGAGGCAGGCTGGACAGGTCGAGGCAGGATGGGCAGGACGAGGCAGGATGGACAGGACGAGGCAGGATGGACAGGTCGAGGCAGGATGGACAGGTCGAGGCAGGATGGACAGGTCGAGGCAGGATGGACAGGTCGAGGCGGGCTGGACAGGTCGAGGCGGGCTGGACAGGTCGAGGCGGGCTGGACAGGTCGAGGCGGGCTGGACAGGTCGAGGCGGGCTGGACAGGTCGAGGCGGGCTGGACAGGTCGAGGCGGGCTGGACAGGTCGAGGCGGGCTGGACAGGTCGAGGCGGGCTGGACAGGTCGAGGCGGGCTGGACAGGTCGAGGCGGGCTGGACAGGTCGAGGCGGGCTGGACAGGTCGAGGCGGGCTGGACAGGTCGAGGCGGGCTGGACAGGTCGAGGCGGGCTGGACAGGTCGAGGCGGGCTGGACAGGTCGAGGCGGGCTGGACAGGTCGAGGCGGGCTGGACAGGTCGAGGCGGGCTGGACAGGTCGAGGCGGGCTGGACAGGTCGAGGCAGGCTGGACAGGTCGAGGCAGGATGGACAGGTCGAGGCAGGCTGGACTAAATTTTTCTCACGTCCAAAACAAAAATAAAATTCCCATCATTGACATTTTTTTTATTTGGTACCGAACAATTTTATTTTGAGCTTTATTCACTTTATCGTTTGACGTTACTACCGCTGCTGCTGCTGCTGCTGCTGATATTACTACCGGTGCTGCTGCTGCTGCTGATATTACTACCGGTGCTGCTGCTGCTGCTGATATTACTACCGGTGCTGCTGCTGCTGCTGATATTACTACCGGTGCTGCTGCTGCTGCTGATATTACTACCGGTGCTGCTGCTGCTGCTGATATTACTACCGGTGCTGCTGCTGCTGATATTACTACCGGTGCTGCTGCTGCTGCTGATATTACTACCGGTGCTGCTGCTGCTGATATTACTACCGGTGCTGCTGCTGCTGCTGATATTACTACCGGTGCTGCTGCTGCTGCTGATATTACTACCGGTGCTGCTGCTGCTGCTGATATTACTACCGGTGCTGCTGCTGCTGCTGATATTACTACCGGTGCTGCTGCTGAT